AGGACAATAAAAGACATAAAATTACATACAGTTACATTTATTCCATAAAACAGACATTCTACCTATCCCCAGATAGCTTAGATCTGAGTGCACATTACTACCGAATGGCGCTCAGATCACATAGATATAGTTCAATCGCCATGGAGCCAAAGTCTTTCAGTATACGGCTGGGCTCCATGGCATAGCTATCTGGGGTGGCATGGCTTTAACAGTCCGCAGAAAGGCTTGATTAAACCTTTCTGCCGGTAAAATAAAAGTTTAAAATGCAGGACCATAGTCTAAAGGGAGCAGGCGAGCAACCAGGCTTCTCCAGTGTACAGTGGCGAGGTTGGTTTCGCCACACTGGACATCCTCACGCTGTGTGAGGACCTCCAGCGTCGCTCATTTCCCCATAGGAAATCGGGCTTTCGCCAGAATCACTCCACTACAACTGCCCTCTTAAAAGTTTGCAATGACATCCAAACTGGCATGGAACAAGGAGCCCTAACTGGAGCTATTTTCCTTGATTTTGCTAAGGCCTTTGACACAGTAGACCACGACATTCTACTGCACAAACTCAAAAACTCAGGTATTGGTGATCGTTCGCTAAACTGGTTTCGATCGTATGTATCGGATCGCTCGCAATATGTGTCCATTTCTGACAGCGACACCCTCCCTCTCCCAGTCACGTGTGGTGTTCCCCAAGGTTCCATTTTCGGCCCCCTACTATTTACATTATTTATAAATGATCTGCCTAATGTCTGCAAATCCTCAAATGTACACATGTACGCAGATGACACAGTAATCTATGCAGGGCCAGCGCCACCTGTAAGGCGACCTAGGCAGCCGCCTAGGGCGCTCCTTAGCAGGGGGCGCCGGATCCCTGCGCCCGGCGGCTCCACATGCTGCGCCGCAGAGCGCTCCCTCCCGCCGGTCTCTCAATGTAGCGTGGCCGGGCGGCGCGGAACGCGGGACAGGAACCTCTGTTTCCTGTACCCGGCCGCCGGCGGACTGACAGAAAGTGCTCACTGAGTGAGCACTTCCCTTCAGTCCGCTGGCGGCAAGGAACAGGAAACAGAGGTTCCTGTCCGTCGCCCACCACTACATACGCGGACCACCAGGGGAGGGGACAAGTGAGGACCACAAGGGGAGGGAGGAACAAGTAAGGACCACAAGGGGAGGGGAGGGGGACAAGTAAGGACCACAAGGGGGAGGGGTGGGGGACCGGGCAAGGACCGCAAGGGGAGGGGGAGGGGGAACAAGTAAGGACCGCAAGGGGAGGGGAGGGGGACAAGTAAGGACCCCAAGGGGAGGGGAGGGGGAACAAGTAAGACCACAAGGGGGAGGAGAGAGGGGAACAAGCAAGGACCACAAGGGGAGGGGAGGAGAGGGGGGGGAACAAGTAAGGACCACAAGGGGAGGGGGGAACAAGTAAGGACCACAAGGGGGAGGGAGGAGAGGGGGGAACAAGTAAGGACCACAAGGGGAGGGGAGGAGAGGGGGAGCAAGTAAGGACCACAAGGGGAGGGGGGAACAGCAAGTGACCACAAGGGGGAGGGGGAGGAGAGGGGGGAACAAGTAAGGACCACAAGGGGAGGGGGGGGAACAAGCAAGGACCACAAGGGGGGAGGGGAGGGGGGACAAGCAACCAAGGGGAGGGGAGGAGGAAACAAGGACCACAAGGTGGCGAGGCGTGAAACAAGTAAGGACCACAAGGGGAGGGAAGGGGAACAGGCATCCAGGGGGGAGGGGAGGTTAGGACCACACAGGGGGAGGTTAGACCACGGGGAGGCGACCATAGGGAGGTAAGGACCACCAGGAGGGGGGGTAAAGACCACTGGGGGAGGGGAGGTAAGGACACCAGGAGGTGGGTAAGGACAGGAGGGGGAGTAAGGACCACTGGGGGAGGAGTGGGGAGTAAGGACCACTGAGGGAGGAAGAGGGGGAGTAAGAACAACTGGGGGAGGAAGAGGGGAGTAAGAACCACTGGGGAAGGGGGGTGGGGAGTAAGGACCACTGAGGGAGGGGAGGTAAGGACCACTGAGGGAGGAGGGGGGAGGTCCACTAAGGGGTTTGGGAGAGGGAGGACCACCAAAGGGGGGTAAGTAGGGAGGACCACTAAGGAGAGGGGAGGAGGGTAAGGACCACTAAGGGGGGGAGGGGAGAAAGAGGATAATGACCACTTAGGAGGGGGAGATTACCACTAAGGGGGTGGGGGGAGGAGGGGAATGTCTAAGGGGAGGGATGGAGGACCACTAAGGGGGAGTGAGAAGACCACCAAGGGGGGACTACAGGGGGCCAAGGGAGAGCACTAAGGGACAGGAGGGAAGGGGAAATCAATAATTGACAGGAGGGGAGAGCACTATGGAAAAAGGTAAAAAAAAATAAAGAGCTGCTCCCCTCTCAGTCCCTATCCTACCCCACAAACCCTCTCTTTTACACTACACACATACACAATGCATCCCTCCCCCCCCACACACACACAGAAACATACTATGCATTCCTACTCACACACAGACACACCCGAAACACACAATGCATCCCTTACGTTCACACAAACACTCATTCTCTTACACACAGAAACAAAATGCATCTCTTACACAATCAATGCACCCCTTACAGACACACACTGCATTCAATAAATACACAGAAACACACCTTGCACCCCTTACACACACACACACAGAAACATACAATGCATTCCTTACACGCAAACACACACTGCATCCCCTATAAACACACTACATCCCTTACAGAAATTGGTATCCCTATACACTACATTCTATAAGAACACACACACATTGCATCCACTACAATAACACATAAAACATCCCCTACACACATACACTCCACTTCCTGTGAGAGAACTCATGGGTGGGCCATGTAGCTGGATTTAGGGGTGGGCATTGTAGGCATATTCACGGTCAAGCCCTGGGGGCCCAGACCTTGAGCTCTGTAAGGGGCCCTAAAAAATGGAGCTGCTTCCTGTTCGTTAATTGTTGTGAGCACTGTTAAAAACACCAGACCTGTGGAGCCAGACAGAGCCCATCATCAGCCTCTTGTCCTCATCTGGTGGTAAGTAGGCAATCCAATATATTATTAGTGGCAATAATCTCTAATTTACCTCACATTAAATGGATACTATAGTCACCAGAAGCACTACAGCATAATGTAGTGGTTCTGGTGTCTATAGCATAGCCTGTGCCTGTAGGCTTTTTAATGTAAACACATTGTCTTTTCAGATAAAAGACACTTTGTGAAGACTGGCGTTGGCCCATATGGCAGAGCATATCGGCGGGGCATTCTGATGTCACATGGTGGGCAGGACATATGGGTCGAGGGGGGGGGGGGGGGGCAAAATCTTTTTTTGCCTCGGGTGGCAAAAATCCTTGCACCGGCCCTGAATCTATGCGAGTAATTCCGATCTACCGTAGCTTGAGGCTGTGCTCCAAGACCAGTTTACAGAGGTAGAAAAGTGGATCGCAAAAAACAAACTCTTCCTAAACACTGAAAAAACTGTCACAATGATCTTTGGAACGGTACCTAAATTACACAAATTACACAATTCCCACCTATCCATCAAAACAAATTCAAATGGCACACTAACCGCAGTCCACTCTTTCAAATACTTGGGTATGTTGTTAAACCCCATGTAGCAGAGGCCTGGTATTTCACAGGTTAACTCCACTAAGATCCCAGTTAGGCTCAGGAACAAGTGATGAAAAATCTCATGAAGTAATAATTCCAACAAGCAAGGTAATCCACGAATATCCCCATACAGATCCCAATGACTGGACGACACACAGCATCAGGAGCAGAACCGACTTTTATTACACACAGCCTCCTTTTAAGCATTTCTCCCATGCAAGGGAGGGATTCACCTTCAATAGTACAGTACCCAATGGAATAGCAGTTACCTCCCACACATCTCCTCCCCTTAGTATGACACCTAATCCCATTATACATTAGTTACAGTTTTCTCCAAGTTCTGGATGTACCCCAAGATTAGCAGGTACACCAATATGTAGGGTACCCCCTGGTCGCCTGATCTGGGTGACTAACATATCCAAAATTCACCCAGATCAGACCAGGGGTTCGGGAGTTAGGTGGAGGGTGAAATTTGACCGACCGCACACGAGGTGGTATCCGAAAAGGGTTCCATGCGTTTTGGCCCCGCGGTCGGTCTCCGTTCGGGAGATAAAATACATAGAAATATATGCTATCCACCACTAAACCGGCATTCGCATGAATGCCCTTGTTAGGTACTCCAAACTCACCAAACAGGAGGCTGATTCGTCTTCCCGTTCGTGAGTTATGGAGCTCTGGAGGTGTCAGCGGTGTTCGGGTAATCGAGTGCCCGATTTGAGTTCCAGACACTCGACGACCAAACACCGCTGAGTCTTTTGTGCGTATGATGGCCGCCGCCACGTGTTCTCATGCCGATGGCGGCCATCCAGATACATCCATAAACCACCTTTTAGTCTGCAGTTAACACATATTTTACAGCTTAATTAGGGACACACTTCACTCTGGTGTGGTCTATTAGTTCGGTAGTTTCCATTCGTATGAAATACAGATGTAAACTACCGAACAATCATACGAATGCTACATACAAATGAAATACAAAGCAGAAACAACACACGAATTGCAGGATTCTCATAGTCTGTAAGGACAGCCACAGTACCATCCGCTACACCCCAATCTATATTTTGGCCTCCACATAGAAAAACTTGCATGTAAACTTTATCCAAAACTAGGTGCCCTGTACAGAAACAAATCCTGCCTAAGGCCTACAGTAAAGGAAAGATTGTACAGCAAATGCTGATGCCAATCATTGATTATGGGGATGTAGTATATGCATCTGCATCGCAATCCCACCTTAATAAACTTAATACATTGTATAACTCGTTCTGCCGATTTGTGCTACAATGTAATTACAGGACCCATCATTGTGACATGCTAAAAGAACTAAACTGGCTGTCGCTGGAATCCAGACGCACCCTTCATCTTTCCAGCCTCGTGTTTAAGAGCTTTTCTGGGAAGCTCCCACCCTACCTGAGCAAAACGCTCTCCTGGACTGCTCCCACCACCTATAACCTCCGATCCAGTACCAGCACTTTACTTAGTCTACCTCAATACAAAAAGAAAGCGGCCTGATCCTCCTCCTCCTATAGAGCGCCACAATTATGGAACGACCTCCCGCACAATTTAAAATCTTCCCCAAGCCTAAAGTCCTTTAAGAGACCCCTCTCTATATACCTCAAAACAGAATGCACCTGTCATGGGTGATTATATATTTCCTGCCTGTTCTGTGTTACATTTTGTATTTATTGTGTATTAATATTGTTTTTGTATTTTGTTGTACCTAATGTAACAATGCAATGATTTGTGGACCCAGGACATACGTGAAAACAAGAGAAATCTCAATGTATCCTTCCTGGTAAAATATTTTATAAATAAATAATAATAATAACATTTTAATAACTAGTGATAATAATTATAATAATATAATAATAATAATTTAATAACATTTTATGTGTTTTGCTTGTTAAGCACCATGGCAACCAATGTCAGTCAGTACAGGAAATGTCACAGAGCAGAGCTGTAAGCCCCGCCTCCTCCTCCTCAGCCCCGCCCCCTCCAGACTGGGAGGCCCCCCCCGCCCCACATCTAACCAGCGTGTAAGGGCGCGCGCTGTCAGAGTCCTGCACTCTGATTGGTTCTCGGAATTGTTCCCGCCCCACTTTCTTGATGGCTATGTTTCTTCACTTCCCATTGGCTGTGTTTCTTACTTGGCCACGCCTCAGAGCTGTGATTGGTGAAATCCGGATTCCAAACTTGTTTTGCCCCGCCCACTGCGTCTGATTGGTGTTTCCATGATGGCGAATCTCCGCCCTGCGCTCTGGGTGTACCAAGATGGCGGCGCGCATGGTGACCCGGTGTTCTGTGAGATGTGCCCGGGCTCTGAGCTCGAGGGCCCCCGCTCCCCAGAGCCGGCTGTATGAGCACGGGAGGGAGGGCTACAGCCACCGGCCCCAGCTGGACATGGAGAGCCTGAGCCGGGACCTGGAGAGAGCCCAGCGGGAGATACAGGACAGGAAGGGCGGGGAGCAGGACCTGGGGGGGCTGGTAAGGGGGAGCAGGACCTGGGGGGCTGTAAGGGGAGACTGGGGCCGGTGCAAGGGGAGACTGGGGGGCTGGTAAGGGGGAGCAGGACCTGGGGGCTGGTAAGGGGAGACTGGGGGCTGTAAGGGGAGACTGGGGCTGGTAAGGGGAGACTGGGAGCAGGACCCGGGACTGGGAGCAGGACCTGACCTGGGGCTGGTCTGGGAGGGGAGCAGGACTTGGGGGATGGTAAGGAGGAGACTGGGAGCAGGACCCGGGGCTGGTAAGGGGAGACTGGGGGCTGGTAAGGGGGAAAGATGCTGGGGCTGACAGGAGGGTCTGGTAAGAGAGGACTGGGGGTGGGCCTGACAGGAGGGTCTGGTGGGAGAGACTGGGGTGGGCTGACAGGAGGTCTGGTAAGAGAGACGGGGCTGGACAGGAGGGTCCGTAAGAGAGACCGGGAGGGCTGACAGGAGGGTCTGGTAAGTGAAACCTGGGGCTGACAGGAGGGTCTGGTAATAGAGACTGGAGGGGGGGGGCTGACAGGAGTGTCTGGTAAGAGAGACCTGGGGGGCTGACAGTAGGGACTGGGGGTGAAAGACTGAGGGGCTTGTTAGAGGGTAATAACTCAAGGTGGAGAGACACTGGGGATGGAAATGGACTCTGAGGGGTGTGTGTGAGATACTTGTGGGGGGGGGGGTAAGACTGGTCAAGGGTGGGGAACACAGAGGAAGAGAGGAATAGATACTGAGAAGAGAAGTAGAGAGACTTGGTTAACAGAGAGTTCTGAAGGGAAAAGTAAAGATTAGAGAGATTGACTGGAAAGCCAGTGGTGGCAGTGAGAGTTGGGTTGGGGCTGTATGTTGGAAAAGTCAGGGGACGGCAGCTATGGATGATGGAATTTGGTAGAGTGTAAGAAAATTAGGCAGTGGTGTGAGAGTATGGAAGGCAGTAACAACGAGAGAGCTTTGGTGACAGTGACAGACATCGGTAGGGGAGGGGCTTCTAGGGTGGTGGTGAGAGAGAGATTGGAGGGACCTCCAGGTGGTGCAGTGATGACACTGTTGAATAATAACAAAGTGTGGGGGGAAAGTTTAAGTGAGTTAAATTGTTATAGTGGGAGGGGGGATCTTTATCCTGTCACCCTCACAGGACATTCATTTATACTATTAGGTCAGGACGTGGGAGCAGCTGCAGAAAATCAGACAGGACATTCAGAAACTGGAAGATGAGAAGACCCAGATGGCCAACGAAGTGAAACATCTAGTGGTGAGTAACTCCAATGGCCACGTGTCGGGCACTTGCTGTCATCGCTGGGGACATGTGACAGGAATTGATACACACACACAGACTGGCTGGTATGGATAACTGAATAAAAATGTTCTATTGTGTGAAATGTAAAAACCATATAACTTGTTTTGACTAGACCCAGCAGATGCTCTCAGCCAATGAGAGGGCCCTGCTTGGCTCTCTAGAGCGAAGGTGATTCTGTATGAAGACAGGACTCAGGGGCTGAGAGTATCCAGCATGTTGTCACACCTCTCTCAGATGGGTGACTAATCTATCATGGGATGGGATCATAACTACTACACTGGGCTGAAAGGGTTAGGGTGCTTGGAGTGTTCCTTGAACAGAGATGCTGATGTGGGCTTTTTTTTCTTCTTCTTTTTTTTTTTTTGCTGTTTGTTACTCTTAGAGCGGATTCCTGGTAAATGTATTTCTTTGTTCAATCCACAGCTGACGCACACCAAAGAAACCTTGGAAAAGGTACGTTCAGCAAAGAGCCATGCCGCACTTTAGTCCTTGGTGTTTTGTGTGGGGTGTTGTTTCCTGTCTCCTCTGTGTTAATCTGCCATTGTTCTGTATACTCTGTATCTTTGTGGAATTATTTTTAGTTTTCTGTAAGTTTTACCAGTTTTCCTCCGGTTTTAGCTCCCAGTGTATGTATCCCTAAGAAAGAGGGGTAAAGGCATCCGGCAGCAGCTTAATAGCCTGTACCCAGAGGAGAGTGACCTAGACAGATCCTTTTATATCCGAGCTTTGAGGCTGCCAAACCGGACACACCCAGACACGGTAAGCGCTGAGCACATTTCAGATACAGGAGCCACAGATAATTAATACGTTCCCTTCCTGACGTCTCGGTCTAGTCAGCCACCCTCGAGACTTTGTGTGAATCAAACTTTAAATACTAGATGATCAGAGTCTCTCCCAGTGTTCCTTTACCTATACATTTACTAGTAATATATCTAGCACTATGTGTGAGGAGGAAGGTTATAAAAACAGCTCAGTATCAATTATCCCCAACTCTTTGACTAGTTTTTTATTGTTAATAACTATATCATGCGTTTTGTTTTTTTGTTCTTGCAGCCTGTTGGTGATGAGAGCAAAGCTCGAGTATTGGATATTGTTGGGGAGAAGCCTAGTAAGTGTCTGAGCTGCTGATAGGAGGGGTTTTGGGGTACAGAATGGTATGAAAGATTAGTGTGTTGGGGTACAGACCATTAAGAAGTCTCAGTGTGTGAGATGGGTGTGAGTTTGTTGGGTTCCAGAATGGTAAGAAAGATGAGCGTGGTTGAGGTAGGAAGAAATGTGAGGTCTTGCTGCAATTTGTGATATATTCTTTTATCTGCCTTTCATTCAGAGTTTGATTTTGAGCTGCAAAACCATCTCCAGCTTGGGGAAGATCTTGATATCATTCGTCAGCGGTATGAAAAGTGAATTTATGCTAACCCTGAACTTGTAATTCCTATGTAGTTTGCTATGTCAGCCAGATCCCCTCTGCATGATTGATATATCAAACCAGGTGGCTATTTCAGCTTCTTACTACCTTACTGCCCCAATGGGTTAAATAATCCTCCTTGCTGGACCTCATTGAGTCCTGACCTACACAGGGGTTATGGTGTGCATTCACCAACACTGGCGGTCAGCAATGGGGGAAACTGAATAAATGAATCCTTGTTGTAACAAGCTCCTCCGATAACCAACCGCAGGATTGAACTCTGTAATAATGATCAGTGAGCTCTGTGCTTCAATTAACAAAAATCTAATTGGATCGGGAAAAAAACCCATAAGATCCCATTGAATGCAGGATCTATGTGTTCAGGGGTCTGGTAGTGGTTCTGATCAGATGCCTTGCAGTCCATAGAGTGTGTGATGGCTACATGTACTCTCCCATGTAGTCCATACTGGGGTGTGTTGTATATTAACCTGTTTCTGCTCCTTTTTTTATGTATTTATTTCCTTTTTGTCCCATTGTTTGCGATGGTGTTCTTCCTGCGTCTCTTGTATCACATTTTGCTCCTAAAGTATTAAAGATGCAGATGTTTTGCTTCACTTTTCTATGGTGCTCTGTGAGCAGCTTTATCAAGCATTGTCTTTGTTTTAAGGAAAATATTTCAAATTGTAAGTGTGGGGGTTGGTTTTCCCTTACTCTGTCTTCATCATTTGTCCTTTTTTGTGACTGTAAAAATTAGCAGGAGCAAAATATCAAAAAAAAATAAAAAAATTCGACAAATCATTTGGGCGCATTACAGAGGAGACACGAATAAAGTCTCCACTATATAAAGATGGAGCGACTGTTTTATACATTAGAAAATGGCGCATGTGCACAAATGTGACTGATTGTGTCCGTCTTACAATAACCCTGTGTAGTCATTTAGTACATAACTACCAAACTCTCTGTATGTAGGCTGAAAGCAGTCTTTCGAAGTGCTGGTCACGGACAAGGAATAATATATATATATATATATATATATACACACACACACACCCACCCCCCAAACTGTTTTACCATTTCAATAAAGGGATCGTTGACTGGCCGAGTATGGCATATCTCCTCTAGTCTGTCTGAAGCTGAGCACGGCACACTCAGTTTATCCTGTTACCTTCTCTTTATATACTGGTTTACTCATTAAACTCGCATCCTGTAAAATCAGGTTGGCATCAGATTAGCTGAACTAGAAAATGTCAGCTATAGTAAGTACCTAGCTATTTTACCCTAAATTTGAAAAGTGCATTTTATTTGTCTGTAATTAGTCAATAATTTAACTTGCTTTTAACCCCGCAATCTCTTCCCCATTAAATAATCTTTCATTCCCACTTGTTACTCCGTCATGTGAAAGTCTGCCTATCTCTCCCTTTTACAATCTGTAACTCTGTTTCATGAATTGTACACTATCTGCTCACGTGTTTCATTAGCTGATTGGAGCCACAGGCATTTTCCGCAGAATATTCCATACCATTGTGTAGGTTGGGTACACAGCAGCCCCCAGGCAGTGTTTTAGACTTCCATTTTATTGGAAGCAAAGAGGGATTAAACAGCTGGTATAATTAATCATCCCTTTGTCCTAGATTCCGTTACCATTGCAAACCTACCTTAATATAAGAAATAATTACTTACCTTGCAAAGAAAGCCCACCATCACTAAAGCCCCCAAGTCTATGCCATTTTTAATGTCTGCACCTTCTTCCAGTCACTGCTGTGGGGATAGTGACTTCTATTTAGTGGCGGGACCTAATAATCACAGTTACCCATTCGGATGCTAAAATCCTTCCTTGATGGACCTGGCACTTATTAATAGAATGTGACGGCAGATAAGAACCATTCGGCCCATCTAGTCTGCCCAATTTTCTAAATACTCTCATTAATCCCTGGCCTTATCTTATAGTTAGGATAGCCTTATGCCTATCCCACGCATGCTTAAACTCCTTTACTGTGTTAACCTCTACCACTTCAGCTGGAAGGTTATTCCATGCATCCACTACCCTCTCAGTAAAGTAATACTTTTGCCCTTCTAATTTAAGACTGTGTTCTTGTTGTGGTAGTTTTCCCTGTGGCATAGTCTGTTATTGAAGATGAGTGCCACTAGTTGTTATAAACGAATCGCCTATCACTGTTGAATGACCTCGGCAAAGAATCGTGATTTAAATGGGCTGTGAGCTCCTCTATTCTTTATTTTGGTATAGCGCACATTATGTGACCAGGGGAAACCCTGAGTATCGTATAGTAAGATTCAGAATTCTTTCATTGATTTTTTTTTTTTTTGTTGTTGTTGTTGTTGTTGCAGACGCCTCTCCCATGTGTCAGGTCACCGCTCATACTACCTCCGTGGAGCTGGCTCCCTGTTGCAGTACGCTCTTGTTAACTTCACAATTAATAAACTTATGAAAAAGGTGACCAGTCTCTCGCAGATTGTACTGTATTTCTATGCCTTCTCAATCTCTGCATTTCATCTTTTCCGTCTTTTCTTTAGGGATTTATTCCGATGTCGGTGCCGGACATGCTGAAAGGTGCCGTGTTTGTGAGTCCGTTTATCTGAACCAATATCTATCCTCCTCCTGTCCCGTTCTATGAACTCGCAATAAAGCACAATAGGGAAGTGCAAACAATGTATTCTGTGCTCACTTTCCTCTTACTGCTCTATTCTATTTTCCTGCACATTCTCGCTGCCCTTCTGACCACCTCCTGTTACTTTCTTCTCCCCCTCTTTCAGGAAGGTTGCGGCATGCAGCCAGACGCTCAGAGTTCACAGGTTTATAATCTAGACCCCTCTCAATTCCCTGATTTAAACCTGGCTGGTACGTCTGAGGTTGGTATTGCAGGTGGGTGTCTTTGATATAGATCCAGATTCACCCCTGTATTTGGCAGATTCACATTTCAAACACTCTCTAAACCATCTATACTCCAGGTTACTTCATGGATCACGCACAGACGCTGTCAGACCTCCCCCTCCGGTGAGCTGCTCCCTCAAACCCGGCGTGAATGGATCCTGTATTTTCCCTGGCTGTGCTAGGCTACCCAATCATACAATTTAAACTTCAAGACGATTTAGATTTTAAGAAGAAAACCACAACTTTTAGTTCTCTTAGCGATCAAATGTACAAAAATCTCACATGTATGTTCCATTTCCACCCTGCTTTTCCTTGTTCCAATCAGGTGTTGTAGTAGCACACTTTACCTTCTGCTCATACTCTTCTGTATCCCCTGACCTTTTCCATTATTATGTAGTGAGAATGGGAGTCTGTCCTCACTGCGTGCAGCAGCTTGCCTGCACGTCATTCTCTTTTTATCCCTCCATCAGAGCTCTTCTTTCACTGTCCTCTCCTAAATAACAGAGCCCACTGTTTCAGCATCGTGAATGCCTTTTAATACTCTCTTCTTCCTCTTCAGGACAGTTTGCTGCAGCACGTGTTACAGAGCAGAGACTGACGCAGGACGGGAAACCTGGGGTCTTTACCGAGTTCATCACTTCACTAAAGTCTGTACCTAGTCGCTGAAACTCACAGCATGCATCTGTGTCCAGCACCCCTGCCTCATGCCTCTCATTCTTACCTCCTCAGGTTGAGATGTTTGGCGTCACAGCAAACGAGAGCGGCACGGAGAGCCAAGAGCTGCACAATGAATTCTTACAGCTGCAGAAAGAGATCTTCTCTGATCTCGGTTTACATTTCAAGTGAGGATCAGAGCACAAGCTAATTGGGTGATGTTCAGAGACATGGCGGGCGACTGCAGACTGTTTGTAGGTTGACTCTGAATACTATGTAAATGATTCTTCCGCAGGGTTCTCGATATGCCAACGCAGGAGCTGGGGCGGCCTGCGTACAAGAAGTATGACATTGAGGCATGGATGCCGGCACGGGGGAGTTACGGCGAGGTGAGCAAAGCCGGTGCAGGGAATGGATTTTTTTTCTTCGCCTTCAGATACAACGGGGTTAGGTATAAAAAGTGTTAAGACTGGTGCAAAAATTGAAAATGGGGAGACATGAGTGGAATGTGCCTGCTGGTTTCACTGGTGATTACCCCAATTCTAGTACGTTTAGTCCACTTTTCCCAATACAACACATTTATACATACCTCCTGTAATGAAACCAAGTGTATTTAAACCTCATTCTGTAGTTTCCTCCCGAACCGCCAAAGCCTTAGTGATTATAGCCCTCCGTTCGGTAGATAGGGTAGAAGAATCCTCTAGTAATTCCAATAGCTTCACCAGATAATTCCCTTAGAGAAACACACGAATCCCCAAACAGCAGCCGAAGTCAAGAAGGGTACAAAATGAACTGTCCTTTAATGGGTGCACACAGCTTTTATGCAAGTCCCCATGCAAGGGGACAGCCCTCAGGGAGGGACATACAATAGCCAATCATAAACAGTAAAATGTTAACACTCACCTCCAATTCCCTCCCTTAGCCCAGGAGATAATTTAGTCTGATAAAATAGTAACTTAATTATCTCCGGGCTGAAAAATCACTTTTTTCCCAAACTTTCAGAACACCCCTTTATACTGGGGGTATCCCCATAAATTATGTGTCCCCTGATCTGGGTGACCAACATATTCGAATTTCACCCAGATCGGTTCAGGGGTTCGCAAATTTTATGGAAGTCTTGTGTGACCGGCTCACCCTGGGCTGCATGCCCAAAACAGTTCCACGAATTTGGTGGGTTTTGCCGGTCACGTTCAAAAAACATAAAAACGAAGAAAAGTACAGAATGGATCCCTCTGGCTCCTAGCAGTGTTCGTGCCTCTCTGTCGAATGCACCAAATTACCGAATAGCGCTCTTCTAGCTATTCGGTAAATAGAGTTCCAGCGTTCGTCTGTTTGGGACCGGTGTTCGGGAAGTCGAGTGTCCGCATAACAGTTCCATGCACTCGACGACCAGGTCCCGCTGCCTTTGTTCGCATGAACAAAGATGGCCGTGGTTTTCTCTGCCACGTGGCGTTCGGCTAACGAACGCTGACCGCACAGACAGATGTAGCAATTTCACCTTGATGTTTAATGAGCCAGAGGGTGGTCCCAGTTCGGTAGTTTCATCTACCGAATGCAATAGGCAGTACATAAAGAATAAAAAGGGAATGCACACTGTATATCACATAGGAATAGGGGGATTCCTTCACACCTCCCATTATGAGAGGAGGATGGGTGATTTGGTGTCTACAGCATACACACTAGACATACTTGAAAACTAGAGAAATCTCCATGTATCTTTACTGGTAAAATATTTTATAAATAAATAATAAAAAATATATATTATAAATGTCAGATTTTGTAACTTTGTTATGACCACAATAATAACAACAACAAAGTGTTTAACCAGGAAAGGTACATTCAGATTACTCTGGTTTTCAAGTACGTCCTGGGGATGTTACCTTAGCCCAACATCCAGGGGATGTTACTGTTACCCTATTTAATAGTACTCATTTTATCTACCTCGGAAGGATGAAGGGCCGAGTCAACCCTGCCGGGATTTGAACCTGCGACCCAAGGGTTAAACAGATTCTACTGAGGAAGCATTAGCCCACTGAGATTAAAGAGAAACTAAACTGTGTATATTTTGTATGTGTAAGACACCAGTATATATCAGAAATGTGTTTTAAGTGGGGGGTTTTCTCTACCCTCTTGTGCAGTCATGCATATCATAAAATCATCCCCATATCATTAAATCTCCCTTCCCAGATGGGTCCAGTATGAATCTACCAGAAATGGCTCCAATATCTGAATAACTCTGTCTTAAAGAAATATGAATGTTTAAATTTTTTTTGTTTTAGTCAAGTGTCTTTCTTTTCGGTCCTGTAAATGTTACTTGGCAAATCTACACTTTATTTTAGAATTCTTTGACACTCTTAGGGTTTTGATAAAGTCCAAAGACTCTCTGGATTAGCAAAATTCAGCCCACAGCACCAGTTAGTTTATTTATTTTCTACCTAAGATTTCAAGTGCGTCAAACTGCACAGACTACCAGAGTCGGCGACTGAACATCATGTACCGCACCCCGAAAGGAGAGCTGCGACACGCACATACAGTGAGTCCACATTTTATTCATACTTTCTGCTGCACATGGTCACTGTATGTTCCATTAACTGGACTGTGCTCTTTCAGGTTAATGGCACGGCCTGCGCTGTACCACGTCTTCTCATCGCCATTCTTGAGTCTTACCAGTTAAAGGTGATTGTTCCCACACCGATCACAATGTGCAGTCTGCCTGGCTTTACTTACCCTGCTCCTTGCACTCTGAGCAGTTTCATTCTCCATTCTTTTTCTGTTTTCTCTCTGCATCTGCAATGCCATACTTTGTCCTTCCCAACCTTTATTATAGTGCTTTGTGTCTTCCCACAGGATGGACGAGTTCGCGTCCCAGCTATCTTGCAACCATTTATGGGGACAGATATTATTGAAAGACCACCCTACACCCCTGCAGAATACATTGGACCAGACCAGCGAAAATTCACGGGCAAGCCACAGAAGAGTGTAGATTGAAGCTGGATTGGTCGGGTTTGTCATGTGGCACAGACATCAGAGACTATGTGGACATCGCTTAATAAGACGGCCACATGTGCAGTGACTTGTTGAAATCTGGGCTAGGTGGGGCTTATAACACAGGCGCATTAGGGTGTGGATTCATGTGATCGTGGGTCAGTCTGTGGGAAAGATGCAATCCCAGGTGGATTGGTGGAACAAACGTGACAGGGTGTGGATTGGTGAGATACTGGTTGGATGAGGCTGAAAGACAGATACAGACTTGCTTGCATTGCTATTATTGTGACTATGGAGGATGAGATCTCCATGCCATTTAACTCAATGGCTGACAATGTAGTTTAATACAACTTGTCAATAAACCTTCCTGGCAGCCTAAAACAGGCTGTTTGCTTGCGACATTGTCCTGGGTACAGTTCAATTTAGTTTTAAAGCCCCGGGCCTACTTTTCTCCAAAACAGGTGGCAGACACATACCCTCAGGACGCCAATTTCCACACAATAAAATAGCAGGCGCACCTGCCAGGGATGGGTCACAGACAATGGCGAGTAAACGCAGGGAAACTGGCTCCTATTGCACTTAACGCTGTCTGCCAGGGACGCTGCATGTTAACCTGTTAGTGACTGGAGAGCTGAGCTCTAACGTGTTATTTATAAACAACCGACGCTTTGAGCAGAGATGTTATGTTGATACATTGCACAGAATGCCCACCTGGTACAGCCCATCTCAGGACAGACGTTTATTACCAGCTGCCTACGAGCAAGCGGGATATTGGCAAAACCTGAGCAGTTTGTGCTTTATAAAGACTGGTCTGGCACCGCTTATTTAAACAAGCTGATGTGTTCTACTTCTGATTATTATAAAAACCAGCAGACGGAGTGTTTGATCTTCTCTAACATTTATTTTGCATGTGTTTTAGGTTTTTGTATTCTCTGTGTTTTGGTTAATGCATTTTATCAGCTAATCCATGTAAAACGCCAGATTCTGGGATCAAACCGAGAGCAAGCTAGCCGTTATTCATATTGTGTGGGACGAGAGCAGAGCTCTGATTTTTATGCTCCCTCCACCCGAAATGTGGCTAAGAGCTCTTCCTGTGCGGTCTGCCTTTTTACAGAAATCCGGCGGAGGGTGGGATCACGGCTGGACGGGGCAGTTAGATCAATATAAATATTCCGTGGATGGTGGGATCAGTGCTGGACGGGGCAGTTAGATCAATATAAATATTCCGTAGATGGTCAGATCAGTGCTGGACGGGGCAGTTATATCAATATAAATATTCCATGGATGGTGAGATCAGTGCTGGGTGGGGCGGTTAGATCAATATAAATATTCCATGGATGGTGAGATCAGTGCTGGAATGGGCAGTTAGATCAATATAAATATTCCATGGATGGTGAGATCAGTGCTGGGTGGGGCGGTTAGATCAATATAAATATTCCATGGATGGTGAGATCAGTGCTGGAATGGGCAGTTAGATCAATATAAATATTCCGTGGATGGTGAGATCAGTGCTTGGTGGGGCAGTTAGATCAATATAAATATTCCGTGGATGGTGGGACCAGTGCTGGGTGGGGCGGTTAGATCAATATAAATATTCTGTGGATGGTGAGATCAGTGCTGGACGGGGGCGGTTAGATCAATATAAATATTCTGTGGATGGTGGTATCAATATACCGTTGATGGTGAGATCAGTTCTTGGTGGGGAATTTAGATCAATATAAATATTCCGTGGATGGTGGGATCAGTGCTGGACGGGGCGGTTAGGTCAATATAAATATTCCATGGATGGTCAGATCAGTGCTGGACGGGGCAGTTATATCAATATAAATATTCCATGGATGATGAGATCAGTGCTGGGTGGGGCGGTTAGATCAATATAAATAATTCATGGATGATGAGATCAGTGCTGGAATGGGCAGTTAGATCAATATAAATATTCCGTGGATGGTGGGACCACTGCTGGACAGGGCAGTTAGATCAATATAAATATTCTGTGGATGGTGAGATCAGTGCTGGACGGGGCGGTTAGATCAATATAAATATTCCAGTGATGGTCAAATCAGTGCTGGGTGGGGCGGTTAGATCAATATAAATATTCCGTGGATGGTGAGATCAGTGCTGGACGGGGGCGGTTAGATCAATATAAATATTCTGTGGATGGTGGTATCAATATACCGTTGATGGTGAGATCTGTTCTTGGTGGGGAATTTAGATCAATATAAATATTCCGTGGATGGTGGGATCAGTGCTGGACGGGGCGGTTAGGTCAATATAAATATTCCGTGGATGGTCAGATCAGTGCTGGACTGGGCGGTTAGATCAATATAAATATTCTGTCGATGGTGGGATCAGTGCTGGGTGGGGCAGTTATATATGTAACGGACCTCCTGTACTCCAACTGAGTACCTCTGTTTGATGGATGCTCCTAGTCCTTCACGAGGGCTCCAAGCACTCCACTAGACACCATAACCACCGCAGACACCACAAACCGCCGCAGCTTGGTTGGGGTCTCGCCGTCTTCCTCCTACTCAGGGCTCAAGACCAGGGACCAGTTTTCGGTAGATAGACCTCTCCTAAATCCAGAGAGCAGGAACAGGAACAAGAGCTTACTCTGGGGAGTATAGTGATTATAGCAATCCCCAGAGTGAATTCACCAATCCCCCAAACATGAGCCGAAACCTCATGAAGGTATAAGATGATCTGTTTAATGAGCACAAACGACATTCCTTTTATACACATTTTCAGGCCAGAGGCACACCCCCTGGACCTGGTAGTAAACTGGCACAAAAGGGACACAAACCAATGGGAACACTAATTAACACAATAACACTCCAACATACACAGTAAAATCCCTCCCCTCTATCCTGGAGATAATTGGTTTAAGTAACCGTAGTAAACTCAATTATCTCCAGGTACAGAACATATCTCCATTTACAATAACAGTAAAAATACATAATTCCTATTATACTGAACAGAACCCCCACATTCAACCTATCCCCAGATAGTTCGGATCTGAGTGCTCAATATAGGCGAACAGCGCTCAGATCCCACGAACAGAATAACTTTTCCATGGGGTTAGAGTTGTGTGGAAGCCTCTTTTGACCGACCGCACGCAGGATTTCCTGCCCAAAAGAGTTCCATAGATTTAGGCTGTGCGGTCAGTCTATTTAACACATACGCGTTTGGCTGAATTAAAATGGCCGCCGCCACTTATTCGTTTGTTGAATGGCAACTACTTCGGCTGCATCCGAAGTGCCATATAAAAAGTACCAATCCTTTCCCAAAATATTTAAAGGGCCAGCAACAGTCTTTTAAAAGTCCATGAGCCCAAATGGGGCCTTTAAAGGGCCATAGTCACATGGTAAGAGGCTGGCAAGCAGGCCTCTCCAAGAAAAAGTGGCAAAGGGCCACTTTTATAATGGTGAGATCAGTGCTCGGTGGGACAGTTATATCAATATAAATATTCCGTGGCTGGTGAGATCACTGCTAGACGGGGCAGTTAGATCAATATAAATATTCCATGGATGATGAGATCAGTGCTTGGTGGGACAGTTATATCAATATAAATATTCCGTGGATGATGAGATCAGTGCTTGGTGGGACAGTTATATCAATATAAATATTCCATGGATGGTGAGATCAGTGCTGGACAGGGCAGTTAGATCAATATAAATATTCCGTGGATGGTGAGATCGGTGCTGGACGGGGCAGTTAGATCAATATAAATATTCCATGGATGGTGAGATCAGTGCTTGGTGGGACAGTTATATCAATATAAATATTCCGTGGATGGTGAGATCAGTGCTGGGTGGGGCAGTTATATCAATATAAATATTCTGTGGATGGTGGGATGCTGGACGGGGCAGGACTGATCAGTGTAATCGCAATCAATCCCTGGAACAGTCGACGAGGAGGATGTGATCATTTGTTGTGGTTTTTTTTTTGTTTTGTTTTTTTATCCAAGTGAAGTTAAATCTCTTAAAATGTATAATTCATGCCCTGCCCCACAAATATAATGGGATTCACTTTGACTTTGCTGGTTCTTTAGTTATACAAGTGTCTGTGAAAACAATAAATAATAATAATCAGATTGGACCATTTTGTCTCAGTATTGAAAGTCTATTTTTTTCACCTTACTGTAATAATCTGTAACCGGGGCTTCTTTTAGTAAGATATAGTAATTGTGATAGTGTGTAGACACGGACAGATATAAGGACATCTCGTTCCATGAGCATAACTTTAATATAAGAGGTTACCCCCTCCCCTTTGTCGCTGTAAAAGCCCCCACTATTCTATAAAAGACTGTTCACTTGCTCAAATATAGTTTGAACATTTGCTTCCCTTCAGCCAGTAGAGCTAAAGAGAGATTAAAGGAACAATAGATTCCTTTAAAGGTTATAATAATAATAATGAAATTGACTATTTAGTAGATCTAACCCAAACAGATGCATGCAGCTATATTTTATTGGGGATAGATCAAAAAAACGCTGAAGACAGACTTTGAACTCCTAGAAGAAAGCCTCTCTTGACAGCCAGGGTGACGTTTACTTTTTATGAACTGTCAGTAAAATGAGACTCCAGACACCTACAGCACTCCAGCTAGCTGTGGAGAGGTCCATCAATGAGAGCCGATCTAATATCAGGACTGGTTTACAGCCAGTGCTGTGGAGAGGTCCGTCAATGAGAGCCAACCTAATATCAGGACTGGATTACAGTCAGTGCTGTGGAGAGGTCCGTCAATGAGAGCCAACCTAATATCAGGACTGGTTTACAGTCAGTGCTGTGGAGAGGTCCGTCAATGAGAGCCGACCTAATATCAGGACTGGTTTACAGTCAGTGCTGTGGAGAGGTCCGTCAATGAGAGCCGACCTAATATCAGGACTGGTTTACAGTCAGTGCTGTGGAGAGGTCCGTCAATGAGAGCCAACCTAATATCAGGACTGGTTTACAGTCAGTGCTGTGGAGAGGTCCGTCAATGAGAGCCGACCTAATATCAGGACTGGTTTACAGTCAGTGCTGTGGAGAGGTCCGTCAATGAGAGCCAACCTAATATCAGGACTGGTTTAGAGCATTTTTATGGACCTAATGCTGAAATTTTAATTTGTGGTTCTGGAATCTTAAAGGGAACTGTCACTTCTCTGGAATTGGCAGCATTAATTAAAACATTGAAAATCACCTAGAACTTGTGTTAATAAAAAAAGTTGTTTTTTTTTTAACTTTGTTTCTGTTTTTCTTTTATTTTGGTTTCTTTTTTCTTCTTACTTCTTTTCTTCCCTTCTCTGTCTACTTTTCATTTTTGGTTATTCTGTTTTTTGTGACGATATTGTTTCAGGCTCCAGTTTGTGTCATTATTATTTCGTATGGTAGATCTGTATCGTTACTGACCGAGCTACAGAATGCTGGACTTCTTTATGGCCACTCTCCCCGGAGTATTTACATATATTATGGCCACTCTCCCCGGTGTATTTACATATATTATGGCCACTCTCCCCGGTGTATTTACATATATTATGGCCACTCTCCACGGAGTATTTACATATATTATGGCCACTCTCCCCGGTGTATTTACATATATTATGGCCACTCTCCCCGGTGTATTTACATATATTATGGCCACTCTCCCCGGAGTATTTACATATATTATGGCCACTCTCCCCGGTGTATTTACATATATTATGGCCACTCTCCCCGGTGTATTTACATATATTATGGCCACTCTCCCCGGTGTATTTACATATATTATGGCCACTCTCCCCGGTGTATTTACATATATTATGGCCACTCTCCCCGGAGTATTTACATATATTATGGCCACTATCCCTGGTGTATTTACATATATTATGGCCACTCTCCCCGGTGTATTTACATATATTATGGCCACTCTCCCCAGTGTATTTACATATATTATGGCCACTCTCCCCGGAGTATTTACATATATTATGGCCACTCTCCCCGGAGTATTTACATATATTATGGCGCTCCGTTGTCATGTTCTCTGTACTCTTGTATGTACTATATATTTGAAATTCCAATAAACTTTAAATGGAAAACCAATATTTTAAAGATTTAGTAACTTATTACATTATAATCCAGTTCAAACAAGGCAAAGCCAGGGTAAACACTGTAAATGAAGAGGAGAAATAGAAACATTGTTTCATGTCACCTGTCTGTATGCTCTCTCTATGCTGACTGGCAGGTGTAATGGGCGGGGCTTATAACAATGATTCTCCACCTGGAGTTTTTAACCAGGTAAAGCCCACCTTCACCAGCCTGCTGGGGCACAAAGAGCCTGGAGTCAATGTCTGTGGTGTCAGCTATGTGACAGAGAAACTGTTTGCGGTGGCATGGAGCAGAGATGTGAATACACAGTGTCAACGCTATTTATGTTGCACTCGCTGGTCGTTCAGATATCGTCCCCATTCACACACTGTCTATATGGCACTAAGCATTTCTGAGCCACGTCAGACCACAAAAATAATCAAAAGCAGCTTGTGTCTGTAGCCGTTCGTGGACCCTACCTTGATGTGGCCCAGCTCACAATACTGCAAGATTTGTGGCTACCAGTAACAGTGCTTACAGTTGGCCAGGCCAACTCTAGGTGGGTGGGAATGTAAGAAAGGTGACATCTAGTGGCAATGCAGCAATGACCGCGACTGAGCCCTGCAACGCGGGCATTCTGCCGCCAGTACCTGTGTTTACAGATTACCTGACTGTGTGTGAGTTTATACACCTGTCAGCAATGGGTGAGTCTGTAATGGATGGGGGGTCCACGCATGTTGGGCCTTGTAGTGTAAGAGGTTCATGGACACTGCGTGGTGCTTGTAGAATTTGTTTCTGGGTTGTTCTCTGGCAGTGGAAGGTGTTTGTATGTCTCTGTATGCCGGCTGCTGTCTCGTTGCCACCTGCAGGTGGTCGGGAACATCTGTCTCCTCTGACGACATCCCCAATGCATTGTATGAGCTATTTAAGCAGCAGAATCCCAGACGCTGCACAGACGAGTCCATCTAGAGGCGCTGCCTCTCGCTCCGTTCCCAGGAGAGTAAATCCGAATCTGAAGGCTCGCTGCTTCTTTCCTTAACCTGCCAGGGGACCATGGCCTCATTTCAGTGTTTGCTGGTACTTGCTGTTTGTATGAAAGGTGAGTTGTGAGCGAGCTGGCGTTGGATCAGTCCCAGGAACACCTACTCGTAGCTTCCTGCATCTCAGGGGCCACATTTATTTATCATTATATATGGTGCACAATTTATGGAAAACGAACATTGGTAATAATACAGAGAGAAGGAAATAGAATTAGAATTCTTGAGACATAAGGAGAAGAGAACTGTGAGCTTCAGCCTCCTACAAGGTACTGTGCAAGAAAACCCGTGAGCTTACAATCCAGAGGATCCCTTATCATTGTATGCATTAACCCCCTATGGTGGGACGGAGGGCTCCACACTTACTACCAGGGTGGGAGTTATTTATTAGATGGGGGAGGTGGATGATTTAATGCTTTATTATCTGGGATAGTTAGAGGGTGAGCGTCTACATATCTGGGGGTCAGATGATACAGGTTCAATGCAATTTGTCTGCTGATCCTCTTTAGTTCATGGACATACAATGCGTTACCAGAGGAGATGTCAGAGGATGCCTTACTTGAGGGGGCTGTCAGAGGATGCATTTCCTGAGGGGGTGGCTCAGGTTGCATTATCTGAATGGGGGTGTCAGAGCATGCATTACCTGCGTTTGGTGGAGGGGGGTCAAAGGATGCATTACCTGAGGGGGTGTCAGAGGATGCATTACCTGCTTTGGGGGAGAGGGGGGTCTCAGGATGCAAGCCTTATTACTTGGTTGAATGATCAGGGAACAAATGCCTTTTTACTGATGGTACAGAGGGCATAGACCCTATTCTATAGGGAGGTCAGGGGCACAAGCTTTACAGGGGTAGTGGATTCCTTATTACCAGGGCTGGGGAGACACAGTTAGAGGATACCTGCCTTCTAGCTTGAGAGCAGAATATCCCATTTGCTGAATTATTTTTATCATCATTGACACTAATAGCTCTCCCTTGTCTTTCTGGTATCAATTCCCCATAACCCTCCCAGTGTGTGGCAATAAATACCCCTTTATCTTTTATCCTTTCAGTGTTGGCTTTCCCCTTGTCCACACGGCTCTCTGAGGGAGAGGAGAAGGTAAGAACCACCAACCCACAACTGGATACAGAGACATAAGGTGTGGGTGTATATAGCGCTAGTAGAATATGGAGTGTGGGTGTATCTCGCTGTAGATATGGGGTGTTGGGTATATCTCGCTGTAGATATGGGGTGTTGGGTGTATCTCGCTGTAGATATGGAGTATTGGATGTATCTCGCTGTAGATATGGGGTGTTGGGTGTATCTCGCTGTAGATATGGGTTGTTGGGTGTATCTCGCTGTAGATATGGAGTATTGGATGTATCTCGCTGTAGATGTGGGGTTTTGGGTGTATCTCGCTGTAGATATGGGGTATTGGGTGTATCTCGCTGTAGATATGGGGTGTTGGGTGTATCTTGCTGTAGATGTGGGGTATTGGGTGTATCTCGCTGTAGATATGGGGTTTTGGGTGTATCTCGCTGTAGATATGGGGTGTTGGGTGTATCTCGCTGTAGATATGGGGTGTTGGGTGTATCTCGCTGTAGATGTGGGGTTTTGGGTGTATCTCGCTGTAGATATGGGGTGTTGGGTGTATCTCGCTGTAGATATGGGGTATTGGGTGTATCTCGCTGTAGATATGGGGTGTTGGGTGTATCTTGCTGTAGATGTGGGGTATTGGGTGTATCTCGCTGTAGATATGGGGTGTTGGGTGTATCTCGCTGTATATATGGGTTATTGGGTGTATCTCGCTGTAGATATGGGGTATTGGGTGTATCTTGCTGTAGATATGGGGTATTCATTGTATCTCGCTGTAGAGATGGGGTGTATCTCACTATAGATATGGGGTGTTGGGTGTATCTCGCTGTAGATGTGGGGTGTTGGGTGTATCTCACTATAGATATGGGGTGTTGGGTGTATCTCGCTGTAGATGTGGGGTGTTGGGTGTATCTTGCTGTAGATATGGGGTTTTGGGTGTATCTCGCTGTAGATATGGGGTTTTGGGTGTATCTCGCTGTAGATATGGGGTATTGGATGTATCTCGCTGTAGATATGGGGTTTTGGGTGTATCTCGCTGTAGATATGGGGTATTGGGTGTATCTTGCTGTAGATATGGGGTATTCATTGTATCTCGCTGTAGAGATGGGGTGTATCTCGCTGTAGATATGGGGTGTTGGGTGTATCTTGCTGTAGTTATGGGGTGTTGGGTGTATCTCGCTGTAGATATGGGGTGTTGGTGTTGGGTATAGCTCTAGCTCTGAATCCAGCGTAGCTTTATTGCACTTCATTCATTATTCATGCCTTTTATTAAGTTACATGTATTATGTATGGCCTTTATTAAATTACATTTATTATTCATCAATGTAGTAGAATCTATATTAACTATGCCGGTGCCAGGGGCTTGCAAAGAGCATTAAGAACAGGGAGCTCTCCGGCTGTACTATAAATCTCACAATCCTCAGACACCATTTGTTGAATCCAATAGGTCCAGTATTATATTTATTATCTCAGACTGAACCCATTCTGAATGACAAGTTTAAAATGTTTAGGGCTATTACAACTACAATAACTAACAGCATGGGACGCCACAGGTGACATTGTCCTACCTATTTGAAGTCTTAAATAGAATTACAGTTTATGTGGGAATACATTGTAGGTAAATAGTTTCTTACCAAAGTTAACACCAAAACCAGTTACAGTTTATATAAATAAACCTCACGAATACTTTCTAGCAGGTATCTCCCTGCTCCCATCCCCTCCGCGATGTCAATGTATTAATATTTATTATTATCTGTAAACAAGCCCTAATGTGTCCTGTCCCCCATTAAAGGAGTTTAACTTCGAGGTAAAACTCTCGACTGTGCTCCAAAATATTCCATCGTTTTATCAGTGCTCGGTAATATGTTAATCCTTTATAAATAATCAAGAAAAGTTACTATTTACTACCTACTTTCGATTGCTGATTAAATAGTGACTCTTTTATAAAAAAATATTCAGCGGGTTAGCATTTTAGGGATTATAAGGTATCCCGGTCTAACAATACTTGAAACTACTTTGAAAATATTAGCTGAGAGGTGCAAATACTGTATTTGTAGCACACCGTTAGTGCGACAAATTAATCTATAAAAATAGTCAAGTAATTATAAATAAATTCCATAAAGAACTGCAGCTAATCGATCACTATGTGTTGTAGGTAACAAGATGCATTCTGGAAGTTCTGGCAGAGTCTCTGTCCAAACCCCACGCAGAGCAAGTGAGCGGAGATTGTCTCAGGATCCTTAAAGAAGGTAATAGTTATGGGTACCTGCAGTGCCAGGAAAACGGATTGTTTTCCTGGCACTGGAGTTTTCCTTTAAGGTTTCCACAATACAGAAAATGTTGTGTGTGAGGTTGAAACAGTTGACAAACAGTGTACAGCCAGTTGGATATATATGATATGTAGCCAGGGTGTTTGCTAATGGTCCTTGTGTTTTCCAGATGAACGGGTCATATCGATGCTACGTCATCAACATTTGCTACGAGAATTGGAGGAGTTAGCTCATAAAGGTATTTCTGTAGGATAACAATAAATCTATATCTTATCAATCAGTTCTCTGTTGCATCGCCCCCCCAATTCCAAGTGAATCTGCCACCATACCACCCCATCAACAACCTAACCTAACTTCTGCACCCCATCTACACCTCTGCCACAATCTTCTCTCTGTCTCACCAAAACAAACCTACCTACCATTAATGCACATATCAAAAGAGTCTCTGTATCTTTCCTCTTCTGTCTGCCCTCTTTAACCTACTGCACCCAACCCAATACACCTAACCCCTTCATATCTCCTACTAAATACACTATCAGATACACCATCTAATCTGCTTCCAACCACCACCACCCTGTCTGCCCAATGAAGAGCACTATATTAAACAAGGTCTTTCCCATTTTTTTTCAATTTTAGAAAAGTCTGGACACATGGAGCAGGAGAGTATGGACACTAGTGAGGAAGATGAGTTGAGGAAGAGAGCAAAGGAACAGAGTAAGAGAGGACCAGCTGCCAAGAGAGGTTCTGAGAGTGAAGAATCCAGAGAGCGTCAGGAAACAAAGGAGATTGAGAAGATGGAGAAGGTGGAGATAAAGGAGAAAGAGCGGGGGGAATCAGCAGAAGGCAAAAAAAATGAAATGCTTGAGGAAGATAAAGAGAAAAGAAGCACAGCAGAAAAAAGAGGGAAGGAAGAAAGAAACTCCGAGAAGAAGAGGAGCGGTGAGGGAAGCCCAAAAAGAAATCCCAGTAAGAGATTCAATGATGAGGAGGTGGAGGACAGCTCAGAAGAGCATGAGGATGAGCAAGGGTTCCACGGAAACAACCATGGATGGTACCACAGCAACCATGATGATTGGGAGGAGAGGAAGCGAGGATCAGCAAAGAGAATGGCAGAAGATCCCAGTGAAGAAGAGACCGCACAATTTGAGACTGAAGACAAAGGTATTAAATACTTCAATTCCAAGACTCACATGCAAGGCCACCATGGAGAAGGGAAAAGATACATGCATTATCCTGAGGAAGGTGAGGTGGCCAGAGAGAGGAGCCATCATGGACCAGAGGAGGGTGAAAGGTATTACCACAATGGGAGGCCTGAAAATCAGGAGGAGCAAGAGGAAGAGAGAGAGCTGAAGGAGATGGAGGAACGAGAGGAACACAAAGCTGAGGTGAGAAGGTGGTAGGGTTATTTTGAATTATTTGTGAATAACCACATAGTAGGGTAATACCAAAAACGTATTGCTCAGTCAGTAATAGAAGGGGTTATAGCGGTAGTAGTTATGGCGCCAGGGGTGACCTCGAGCCCTCCCATGCAATTAGTTTAACCATTTGCTAAGAATTTGACAACTTACCTAGGCTCTGCTGGCCATTTGTCACTTCCTCAATATTGTTGAATGCGTAAGGCAGTGGCTGAGTGACAGGCAACAGAGGGTTGTAGTCAATGGAGTATATTCGAAGCTTGGGCTTCTCACCAGTGGGGTACCTCAGGGATCTGTACTTGGACCCATTCTCTTTAATATTTTCATTAGTGATATTGCAGAAGGTCTTGATGGTAAGGTATGTCTTTTTGCTGATGATACTAAGTTATGTAACAGGGTTGATGTTTCAGGAGGGATAAGCCAAATGGCAAATGGCAAATGATTTAGGTAAACTAGAAAAATGGTCAGAGATTATTTCTGATGACTTAAAGGTAGGCAGACAATATAATAGAGCAGCAGGAAATGCTAGCAGAATGCTTGGTTGTATAGGGAAAGATATTATCAGTAGAAAGAGGGAAGTGCTCATGCCATTGTACAGAACACTGGTGAGACCTCACTTGGAGTATTGTACACAGTACTGAAGACCGTATCTTCAGAAGGATATTGATACTTTAGAGAGAGTTCAGAGAAGGGCTACGAAACTGGTTCATGGATTGCAAGATAAAACTTACCAGGAAAGGTTAAAGGATCTTAACGTGTATAGCTTGGAGGAAAGACGAGACGGGGGAATATGATAGAAACATTTAAATACATAAAGGGAATCAACACAGTAAAGGAGGAGACTATATTTAAAAGAAGAAAAACTACCACAACAAGAGGTCTTAAATTAGAGGGGCAAAAGTTTAACAATAATATCAGGAAGTATTACTTTACTGAGAGGGTAGTGGATGCATGGAATAACCTTCCAGCTGAAGTGGTAGAGGTTAACACTGTTACAAAAGACTGAAACTAACTATGTTACTGTTTGCTAACCGATGGATACTGTTTGTCCCTGGCTAAGTTTAAAGCGAAAAGACGCATGAACGGATTATCCGAACCATTATAAAGGACTCATTCGTGGTACGAACAGGGCACCCCCCAGAATTGGCGTGTGCCGCCACTTAACCCCGTCACCCCGCAAACTGCCGAACGCTCGACCCCCCAGCCAGCGGCGTGTGGCCGCCATTAACCACCCAGGCAGCTGCGGTTTGCGGTTAACCACAATGTAACTAATAAGCCTGGGGGCATCGACGTTCGCCTCGAAATACCGAACGGAATCTACCGAACTAACAACCGAACGACGACCCCCTACCGTGGGCCGCGTGGCGGTCATTAACTTGTGGTTTCTGCGGTTAACCGCAGGTCAAGTACCCTGCTACCAGATGGCCCCATTCCCTTACCGAACGATCCCCACTACCAGACAAACAGCGGGACTTCGCATGAACTGATACCGAGTTTAGTTCCAGGAGTTAGACACGAAGTCCCGCTGCTCGCTAAATCAGCAGAAAACATGGCCGCCAACAAACGCTCACAATCTCAAAATGCCGAACGGACTTTATACAGCAGGAACAGTCCATTCTGTTCGTGAGATTAGAGCGCCATTCGCCTGTTTCATCTATACGAACGCGAGCCTTCAGCTGAATGGTAGAATGAATGGTTTTCCGATAATAATGTACAAGTTATGGATTTTTATACAGTTTTCTGGGACATAATAAAACGTGGTCTTTTGTGCGCTTGGAGATAATTAGATTGTAAAACCGTTGGCCTCATTATCTCCAAGCTGGGCGTGTAATAATTCAAATAATATGGTGTACTGTGATTGGTTACCTGTTTGTACTGTACCTGTATTCCATCAGGTCCACAGGGGGCTGTCCTTGGACCTGAGGAATTACATAAATCGCCATGCTATGTGCCAGAAAAGCCAGTTCGTTTTTGACCCTCAACTTGCAGCCTCGACTCATGTTGTAGGGATCCGGGATATTGATGCTTATTTCGTGCTTGGGGATATTCTACACTTGCAGCTTGCTACCGAAGGACCTCCGTTCGACTCTCTACAGCGGGAACCAGGACATCCAAGCGATCAACCCTCCTGCTAGACCGGGGGCAATCGTAACAAACACAGTAAAGGAGTTTAAGCTTGTGGGATAGGGATAAGGCTACCCTAACTATAAGATAAGGCCAGGGACTAATGAAAGTATTTAGAAAATTGGGCAGACTAGATGGGCCGAATGCTTCTTATCTGCCGTCACATTCTATGTTTCTATGTTTCTCATTCACAGCCTGAAACTCATGCTATAGTGGTTATAGTACTTTGAGTGTTTCTTTAAAGGACCACTATAGTGCCAGGAAACCATACTTGTTTTCCTGGCACTATAGTGCCCTGAGGGTGCCCCCACCCTCAGGATCCCCCTCCAGCCGGGCTGGATGGAGAGGAAGGGGTTAAACTTACCTCTTTCTCCAGCGCCGGGGGGTGGAGGAGCTCTCCTCCTCCTCTTCAGCTGAATGCGCATGCGCGGCAGGAGCTGCGCGCGCATTCAGCCAGTCTCATAGGACGCTTGCGTCTTCTCACTGTGATTTTCACAGTGAGAAGCACGCAAGCGCCTCTAGCGGCTGTCAAGAGACAGCCACTAGAGGCTGGATTAACTCTATTATAAACATAGCAGTTTCTCTGAAACTGCTATGTTTATTTAAAAAAAGGGTTAACCCTAGCTGGACCAGGCACCCAGACTACTTCATTAAAGGACCACTATAGTGCCAGGAAAACATACTCGTTTTCCTGGCACTATAGTGCCCTGAGGGTGCCGCCACCCTCAGGGTCCCCCTCCCGCCCGGCTCTGGAAGGGGGAAAGGGGTAAAACTCACCTTTTTCCAGCGCTGGGCGGGGAGCTCTCCTCCTCCGATCCTCCTTCTCTCATCCCCGTCGGCTGAATGCGCACGCGCGGCAAGAGCTGCGTGCACATTCAGCCGGTCGCATAGGAAAGCATTATCAATGCTTTCCTATGGACACTGGCATGCTCTCACTGTGAAAATCACAGTGAGAATCACGCAAGCGCCTCTAGCGGCTGTCAATGAGACAGCCGCTAGAGGGAATGGGGGAAGGCTTAACCCATTCATAAACATAGCAGTTTCTTTGAAACTGCTATGTTTATAAAAAAATGGGTTAACCCTAGCTGGACCTGGCACCCAGACCACTTCATTAAGCTGAAGTGGTCTGGGTGCCTAGAGTGGTCCTTTAAAGAACCTGGCTAACTGAATGATAATTGTCACCGCCATTGTCAGCATGACTCAGTCATAACTTTTCCAATAAAAACAGTCCACAAAACACACCAGTAACTGGACACAATCTGGTGGCAGCTTATTAGAGGGTCATTGATACAACGTTCCATCAAGCATTGGTAGCTCACATATAACTGGCTGGATTCACTTCCAGACACTCCTATAGCATCGAAGAACCCCCAGAGACCCCAAGTCATACTAGACAATAGAGAATCAATATTATTATTATTTGCTTTGTTTTATTATTGTGCAGGATGTAATACACTGTCTATGAGTGTATTAACCCTTAACCACCCCGATAACCCTCCATTGGACCATTTCACAATACAATACAATGTGTTGTTAACACAGCCCATTAACTCTTAATCTGTGTCCATAGACACCAGAATGACCAGCTTACAATGGGTGGGCCTCTCCTGCTTTACGATTGGCTGGCTTCATACTCTGCCACTGGTCCTGCTGTTTAGATGCGCAGTGAAAGAAGTACAGCATTGTGGGATATGTTACTTGATCTAGAATGTATTATGTCTGTTTCCTGTAATAAAGACACTGTTTCGATATGTGGAATTAAATGGTTTATTTGATATCATGGAATAAGCTCTGGTGCGCAAGAAGTCATGGAAGTACCAAAAGTTAAAACAGTATGTCACAGGGACTGCATGCATTTGAGACTCCAACCATGGTGTCACTAAAGACTTTATTCACTAAATAGTAAATTATAAGACCAATTACCTGGAAAAATCTCAAATTCAACTTAAATTTTAATGCTCTACAATTCACTGTTCAATGAAGAAGCCCTAAAATGAGAGAGAGAGAGGGTGTGTGTGTGTGTGTGTGTGTGTGTGTGTGTGTGTGTGTGTGTATGCGCGCGCACGCGCGTGCGTCTGTCTGAACAAAGAGATTGATAACAGACACAAAAAAAAAAAAGAAACACAAGTTTTGGAAGCTCTACCTGCAAGCCCACAAACTTCTAGAATTTTTTTTAAAAATGAGACAAATTAAAATGCATAAATACAGAGTCTTGGGTCATGAGATGAACGAACAGATAGAGATGGAAAATATTGGGGCATGAAAAGAATTAACAGATAGAGATGGAAACTCTTAGGGATTGAGAAGAACAGGCAGATAGAGATGCAAAATATTGGGTCTTAAGAAGAACGAACAGGTGGAGGTGGAAAATATTGGGTCATGAGAAGAATGGAGAAAAGTGCTGAGGGATAGAGAGTCGCAGGAATGTGGGTCACACGCAGACTTTTGGACACACGAACAGCAATGAATTCAAAAAAGCATGGTTTGTTAGTTGAAACTGGTTAGTCCAGCTCTTCTCATGTGTCAGGATCATAAAAACCTTTAGTTTCATAAACATCGAAGATGAATGGAAAATTACATTTACAGAGAACCAGATAACCTCCATAACGTTCAAATTTGTGTGCTTGCCATTAGTAATTTATGTCTCTGACACCATTTGCAACCATTATGGATATAGCTGAAATACTGGACCTTGATACCTGCTGTAATCACACCTTTAAACGGCAGAAAACAGTTTGTTCTTTGGAGAATCCGGCACATAGTGTTAGAGCAGGACTTTCGTCTCATGAACCAAAGCCTGAGATTTAGGGTGTGACTAGTAAACGTATTTTGATAGTTGAAACAAAGTCTGTGATGTCACAGAAAATCATTTGTCCATTTTTTTGTATGCGTTGTATGATGTTTACAGTATTCTGTGCTTTCTCCACAGGAGCAGGACCTGCAGGAGGTGGAGAGAGAGCTGAGGAAAACTGCAGAGAGACTACAGCAGCTGCGCCAAGGTTGACCCTAAAGCTAGTGCTTAACCTTGCGTCTTCCTTGTCTGCTTTCCACTATCCTGTGTACATACATAATTTCTGATCTTCCAAGGCTGGCTTTATACTGTTAGAATACATGGAGCCAATCCTCTTGTGGCTTAGCTTTGAGTGAGCTTCACATAAAATGTTTGGGCTCTAGCTGGGTAGAAGGGAAAAAACAAGTCCAAATACCCCCAAAGCATCTCATTACATGTGCTAAGACCCTGGGCTAGGTCGGCCTGTGACTGTCCTAGAAGGTGGCCAGCAGAACATGTAGGGACGTCGGGCTGCAACCACAGACATAGGATCATTGAATATCTTCTCTTGCTCCAAGTAGACTCTATCCAGCACACATTCCTTAGTTTGAGAATTTTTAAAATCTTTTATTTGTTGTAAACTGGCTGCATTGTTCTGTCTGGGGCAGCGGGCGGGATGTTTTCTTGGTTCTGAATACGGGGAAAGTTTTCCTACATGTACATTTCTATAATGTGAGGTCATTTGCTCTCAGTATTGTTTGCCGTAATAACCAATAAAAAAAACAAAAAACAATGAACATTTGATATCGGAGAACTGATAATGTGGAGGGAGTGGGGGACACAGAAAAAAAAGAGTTATGCCTCCTTTTTCTCAATTAAAAAGACCATATTAGCATTGATCTGTAATCCCACCTGACCCTTCATCATGTCAGTTAGGTGAAAAGGCATCGGCCAATAAAGAGAAGCACACAAGTAAGTCCAAGGATGGAGCTTATGGAAGGAGAAAGCCATATTATCCCCTGCAGCTCTTGCCTTGGAAGATTAATTTACCTACCAATTCTGTCACCAGTCATCCGAAAGGCTGGGGGTACACAAATTAAAATAGGGGGTATCGGGGAGGCTCTTTTTATATGGATCTGCTAAAGCCGAGTCTGCCACCCAGGAGTTTGAGGGAGCAGGTCCTCGCAGGATCTGGGGAGCTTCTGCAGGGGGGTCTGGGGATGGCTCCTTGGGATCTTCAAGGAGTTTTTCAACATGAGAGAGGAGCGCTGGAAAGAACTCGGGGACACCTTCATAGCCTAGAAAAAAAATAAAAAGGTTGAGGGATCTATCTTCTTTCCCAAAAAGAACCTGCCTTCACTACGGGGGTGCTGCTCCACCACAAACACTGCATGCAGAAACAACATATTAGGAGAGATATTCGGCACTACTGGCACATATATTGCTTTGGGTTATAAGGACCAGGCTGATATCCAGAGGGACCGGGAATAATACAGATTTATTTTTCAAAAATGTAAAATTATATTTTTCACGAAAGTACGAATTGTTGGGAATTCAAAGTGAATTTCAATTTTAAGGACAAAATAGTTGAACTGTAAAAATTCTCTACGTCAGCTATGCTTCCATTTTGTCCATTTTGGTTTTAAATATGAAATTTGTGAAATAGCCTCAATATTTGTTCTATCCAGGGAGGACACAAGGCTCTGAACCAACAGATTTCTTTATTGTTCAATTCCAAGTAAAGTTCCCCACCTAGTGGCCAAAATCCACAATGACAGCTTCAAGCTGTATGTGCGGCTTAGACTTATAATTAAAATTCAGTGTGCCTTTAGGAGATTTTGCTAAACACTAAATTGGTGGGCTTGTGGAACTCTTGGTTTGGGAACATAAATTAGGTTGACATGGGGCATATAGTAATAGACTGAGGGGTTCTCCAAATATTTGAGGTCATTATATTGAACACCACGTGGCTCATTATTATAATTATCCCATCCTGAATCATCACCATACGAAGTGGGAATATCCTTCAGCACACGCCTGGTATTGTAAGCCACACAGAAGTTATAATCAAACCTCTTTTACCAAGCTGGGTTATATAAATCCAAATCCTCCGTGCCACCTATTCACTTTCTACAGAGTTACTTTGTTACCTGTCTCCTCTGACAGTACTCCTTATCTCCAGGAAAGACTTCTCTCTCATCATACCTGGAAATGCATTGACATCAATGACTGCGCATCGGCCGCTCTGTGTATCGACGATAACATCCACTCCGAATAGCGACATACCAAGGGCCTCCTGGAGGCTCTGTACCACTTTTTTCACTATCGCTGCTGGTGGCGGGTGAACCTCTGGGCATGGCATCGCCTGGAAGGAGAGAATGGTGGATCACCGATATTGACCAATAAGTGAAGCCTTGGCTTGGACATAGAAGCCATGGCAGCAGCTTACTGAACATCAAGAATTGTCGGGCAGTTGGCGGAGTGAGGACTCAGCTGCTTGGTCCATTTACTAGTGTGACAGTGACTCACTTGTGAGAGGTGGGAACAGGACTCGGCCTTGGAAACCTCATGACTGTTGAAGAAAATGGTCTTTTCATCTGGAAAGAAAAATAAGGTTCCCTGGTCATAAATGGTAGCAAGGAGACTGTTACAAAAATAAGACTCAAATCACTTTCCCACAACAGGACATTTCTTTTCAATTCAAAATTATTTAAAATGTCGCTCCTCTTCCCTTCTTTCATATTAAGAACTTTGCGCAGTGCGTTGCATCGAGGGTTCACTTATCTGTACAGAATCTTCTATATTATCAATCGTAGTTTGAAACATTTACCAAAATCAAATGTTACTATTTCTAAAATGGCAAAATTTCAGGCAACCCTTCGTCAGATTAGGTGGCATTTTCAGCACAAGGGGTTTTAACATTTTTGCTGATCGATAAATATAATTACGCAGAGACTTGCAATTCTACATTACTTGTTTGGACACACTACGCTGCATTAAAAACACACTTTAAAGAATAAACCTGTGGAGAGTTTTATGTCAACCCAAACTGTTCTGTTTGGACCCCATTGGACATGAGAACCTTTCACCAAATATTTTCTGTAAAAATTAGATAGATCGACAAATAGGGTTTAATAAGTTATTCTTACCAAATATATCAAACCCCCACACCCCTCCCCCCAGCCAAAAAAACCAAAAACAATAAATATTTTTCATCTTCACAGTGTTACACAGGACAAATTTATCAACGCAACACTTTTGTTTTTGCCCCACTTTTCATGAGCTGTACTCAAAGATCTAAGACTTTTTCTATGTACACAAAAGGCCTATGTCTCTGTAACGGATGACCTGGCACCCCGACTTGGCACCTCTGTCAACAGATGCTTCCTAGCTGACGCTGAGGACTATAAGCACCGCACCGGACACCACAAGCACAGCAGACTCCACAACCGCCTTAACTTAACTGGAATCTCGCCGTCTTCCTTCCACCCTGTATGAACCTCTGGCATCCAGGACCGTGTGGGAAAGACCTCTCCTCCAGGAGAGCGTAGCAGGAACAGCTCTTAGAAGAGCTAGTGATTAGAGCCCAAGGGGGTATAAAGAGTATAGCAATCCCCAGTGTGAATATAGCTGTTCCCCTCCAATCACGAGACAAGACTACGTGTTGAGGGTCAAACAGGAACTCAATTTTAATGGAGGCACACTGGCCTTTTATGCAGGTTTCCCAACAAGGGTGATGCCCAGGTGGACCTTGTTGGGCACAGGGACACAAAGTGTACAAGCCAATAGAAACAATGTAACAATGAACAACACTCCCACATACAGGACACAATCCCTCCCCTCTGCATGTGATACAATTAAGGTCGATAATACATTAACTTAATTATCCCCAAACCAAAAAAAACAGATATTTATATAAAGTCCAATAAGTACCTCAAAATACAACATATCCCATACATCCCCTGATAGCCCTGATCTGGGTGAACAACATATCTAAAAATTGCCCAGATCAAATCAGGGGTTCAGGAATTTTATGGAGGTCATAGTTTTGCCCAGGTGCAGGCACGGTCCCATGCCCAAAACAGTTCCATAGAATCGTGGCTAAGTGCCACTGGAGGACCGACTGGGAACTACAAGGTTTTCATGCTGAAAATAATTCCAGGGCATTTGCGGCTAAGTCCACCTGAAGTCTATTCGTGGTTTTGGTCTATGCGAACATGATGGCCGAATGTCGAATGGCGGCCACTTTGACTGTTCGGGAGCTCGAAGAACCATTGTTTAAAGTCCCAATAGCCACATATACGGTCTCTCAACCACAATAAATTAAAGGGGCCATAGTCACAGGGCAAAAGGCTGGCAAGTACTCCCCTCCAACCCAGTGGCGAAGTGGCTTTCGTCACATTCTCAAATATTGTTCATAAATCTGTCTAAATCTGTGTTAGTGAGCACTTCTCCTTTGCCGAGATAATCTATCCACCTCACAGGTGTGGCATATCAAGATGCTGATTAGACAGCATGATTATTGCACAGGTGTGCCTTAGGCTTACCACCATAAACGGCCACTCTAAAATATGCAGTTTTACTGTATTGGGTGGGATACGGGGGCGTCCGAAAACCAGTCAGTATCTGGTGTGACCACCATTTGCCTCACGCTAACACATCTCCTTCGCATAGAGTTGATCAGGTTGTTGAATTATGGCCTGTGGAATGTTGGTCCACTCCTCTTCAATGGCTGTGCGAAGTTGCTGAATATTGGCAGGACCTAGAACACGCTGTCGTATATGCAGATCCAGAGCATCCTGAACATGCTCACTGGGTGACATGTCCGGTGAGTATGCTGGCCATGCAAGAACTGGGATGTTTTCTGCTTCCAGGATCTGTTGTGTACAGATCCTTGCAACATGGGGCCGTGCATTATCATGCTGCAACATAAAGGGTGATGGTCGTGGATGAATGGCACAACAATGGGTCACGGTATCTCTGTGCATTCAAAATGTCATCATTAAAATGCACCTGTGTTCGTTGTCTATAGCATATGCCTGCCCATACCATAACCCCACCGCCACCATGGGCCACTCGATCCACAACGTTGACATCAGAAAACTGCTCACCCACACGGCGCCATACATGCTGTCTGCCATCTGCCCTGTACAGTGATAACCGAGATTCATCCGTGAAGAGAACACCTCTCCAGAGTGCCAGACACCATTGAATTTGAGCATTTGCCCATTCCATTAGCTTACGACGACGAACTGAGGTCAGGTCGAGACCCTGATGAGGATGACAAGCATGCAGATGAGCTTCCCTGAGATGGTTTCTGACATTTTGTGCAAAAATTCTTTGGTTATGCAAACAGATTGTTGCAGCAGCTGTCCGGGTGGCTGGTTTTTGAGGTGAAGATGCTGGATGTGGAGGTCCTGGGCTGTGTGGTTACACGTGGTCTTCGGTTGTGAGGCTGGTTGGATGTACCATCAAATTCTCTGAAACGTCTTTGAAGACAGCTTATGGTAAAGAAATGACCATTCAATTCATGGGCAACAGCTCTGGTGGACATTCCTGCAGTCAGCATGCCAATTGCACGCTCCTTCAAAACTTGCAACATCTGTGGCATTTTGCTGGGTAATAAAACTGCACATTTAGAGTGGCCTTTTATTGTGGCCAGCCCAGGCACACCTGTGCAATAATCATGCTGTCTAATCAGCATCTTGATATGCCACACCTGTGAGGTGGATGGATTATCTCAGTGAAGGAGAAGTGCTCACTAACACAGATTTAGACAGATTTGTGAACAATATTTGAGAGAAATAGGCCTTTTGTGTACATAGAAAAAAAGTCTTAGATCTTTGAGTTCAGCTCATGAAAAATGGGGGCAAAACCAAAAGTGTTGCGTTTATAATTTTGTTCAGTGTATTTTATGTGACTAAAAGAAATTCAGCTAAAACCCATTTTAATTCCCAGGATCCGGGATATAACACTGCCATATGTATAAAGGAACATAGGGTTAAACACCTATAAAAGATGGTTCCAGGAGCTAATGTTCAGACACTGGACTTGTGTTTTTACTTGTGATTGTTGCATAAGACATATTAAAGGAACACTCCAGACACATAAAGCTTGCTAAGTGTTTAATGTGTGAGGGTTTTTGTTTTATTCTATTAAAAGGCCAATTTCAGGTAGCTCAAAGCACCTGCCTTGCATAGACTTCTCATTGTGCTATATTGGGAAGTCTGTGATTGGACAGCCACAAAAAGTCTGGCAGGGTAAAAAGAGGACGGCTAGAGATCTGCAGCTATTCCATGACAAGATTTCATATAAAGGAGACATACAATACAAACTACATGTATATTATACTTTGGGGGTATATCGACTAAACCGTTAAACACACACATTTATATATATATAATTTTTACATTTTTTTAATGGAGTGTTTCCTTAATATAAATAAATCCCAATTTAAGTACATTCTCTTACTTACCTGTCTCTCCCAAGGGGAAATTCCGCAGAGAGGGTCTCCGTACCACAAAATGTTCTGACCCCACCACAAATACCTTGTAAAGAGTAGCATTGTGATTAATGAAGCTTTGCAAGAGGCATGGGGGAGTCACTTCATTTAAACCCCCCTCGTTAAATATCAGGGACATCTGGAAGGAGAAGGAGCAGAGAGCAAAGCACATTACATGGACCATCACTACAAGAAACACATTGCGTTTTATGTGAAAATATAAGAGCTACAAAAACGGACAATGCTGAGTCGACGGCTACTGATTGATAGCATATAAATGATCAATTTTATTGCAGCGTTAATCATGTGAAAAAATACAAAATAGTATATTACTGAAGGCCTCCATTTAATATTTTTGATTAAACTTTTCAAATGATGAAAAAAATATGTCATATAAAAAAAGAATATATAAACATAACACGCATCACATCATTTAAAAAATGTATCCAAAGATATTAAATCAATTGAAACGCTTTTCCAACGTTATTAAATTTTGCCCCCAGTAGAGCAAAGTGTTCTTTATTTAGAGTTTTTTGGTAATGGTTTTACATAAACAAAGGGATTTAACTCCTAAATGGCAGAGGATTGAGCAGTGAGGCTGCAGGGGCATGTTCTATACACCAAAACTGCTTCATTAAGCTAAAGTTGTTCAGGTGACTATAGTGTCCCTTTAATAGCTCCTGACTGATTCCTCTTCTGCAGCTGTCACTAGTCTAATACTATCCTTACCTTTTTGTGTCATTTTACCCCACTCCCTCTAGCATGTAAGCTCATTGAGCAGGGCCCTCAACCCCTCTGATCCTGTGTGTCCAACTTGTCTAGTTACAACTACATGTCTGTTCGTCCACCCATTGTAAAGCGCTGTGGAATTTGACGGCGCTCTATAAATATTATAATAATAATAATAATAATAATTTGCGAACACAGCTCATAACATAGGTGCAGACAGTACAAACAGTAGTGCTCGTCGAGGGTATAATTGAAGTCGTGTACATATAGATACACTGGATGCCCCCACAATCCAACGTGGCTTCAGTGAGTCTCTCGACATTAAGGAGTAAATAAAATAGAAGTTGCAGTTTGCTGGAGGGGTAATTCAGGTCTAGGACATCACAACTCAGATAGTTGTCAGCATTATTGCCTCATGCCGTAAGAGGTGGAGGGCAAAGTGTTCTTTACAGTAATAACAATGAAGATGTGGAGGAGCAGAATATTGAAGGATATAATAGTGGATTTTCAGAACATTAACAGGGAGAAATCGGATTGCCCCTTATAAGTCAAGAAGGATTTAATTTCCGATTTATAGGAACATGAAAATATGCATTAAATTGGAACATTTGCCTTATTTTTGGATCAACAGCCGAAATGGAAATTACTATGTAACTATACGATGGATCACTGGTTGTAAGAACCCTACCCAAGTTTCCTAACATACACGTAGAGGGTACCCCAGCAAATACACACCTGGTGAGAACGTGGTCCGTGGGCGATTTGTGTCTTACAGACTGTAACAGAGAGAAGGAATGCAATGAGAAAGTGCCATATTTATATCTATCCATACTCCATATATGATATGTATCTGCCCCCATGCTGGCTCCCCCACTCATGTCTGCCTGTGGGCGTAATAATAATTTAATTCCCAAGAGCATAATCTTACACTGACTGTCACCCTTTCATTACATGGGCAAAACAACACTTCAGATACCTCCCAAGTTTCTGAATTGCACCTGAATATTGCAATCTCTTTCTTTTTGCAAAAATGTATTGTGTAGTGAATGAATCCAGTGTATTTCATGGAGACAGTTAGTTTATAAATCCAGTGTATTTCATGGAGACAGTTAGTTTATAAATCCAGTGTATTTCATGGAGACAGTTAGTTATAAATACAGTGTATTTCATGGAGACAGTTAGTTATAAATCCAGTGTATTTAATGGAGACAGTTAGTTATAAATCCAGTGTATTTCATGGAGACAGTTAGTTTATAAATGCAGTGTATTTCATGGAGACAGTTAGTTTATAAATGCAGTGTATTTCATGGAGACAGTTAGTTATAAATACAGTGTATTTCATGGAGACAGTTAGTTTATAAATCCAGTGTATTTCATGGAGACAGTTAGTTTATAAATGCAGTGTATTTCATGGAGACAGTTAGTTTATAAATCCAGTGTATTTCATGGAGACAGTTAGTTTATAAATGCAGTGTATTTAATGGAGACAGTTAGTTATAAATGCAGTGTATTTCATGGAGACAGTTAGTTAATAAATGCAGTGTATTTCATGGAGACAGTTAGTTAAAGTGTTTCATGGAGACAGTTTGCAGTGTAGGAGAATATGTAGCTGTGAATCCTTGGATGTAGCCAGTTTGAGCGCTGTGCCTATCAGATCGTATGGGACACAGATTTAGACTCATGAGTGAGGGGAAACAAGACGGAGTCTGGAAGACAGGAAGCTATAAAGATGTCCAGTGTTGTGTGATGGGTCCTATGATGATGTCATGCATTGTCCACCAGCTCTCAACATATGGAGAAATTTAACTCTTATCCTTCTCAACCTATACTTAACTTGTATTGTGTTATGACAATACATACCCTATACTGTGTTATACGCAGACACGCTCACCCAATACTGAGTTATACACAGACACGCTCACCCTATACTGTGTTATACGCAGACACACTCACCCTATACTGTGTTATACGCAGACACGCTCACCCTATACTGTGTTATACACAGACACACTCACCCAATACTGTGTTATACACAGACACACTCACCCAATACTGTGTTATACGCAGACACACTCACCCTATACTGTGTTATACACAGACACACTCACCCTATACTGTGTTATACACAGACACACTCACCCTATACTGTGTTATACACAGACACACTCACCCTATACTGTGTTATACACAGACACGCTCACCCTATACTGTGTTATACACAAACACAATATTGTGACACGCAGTCACAGACACTCATATAAACACCCTGTGACACACCCCGAGAACTTTGCTCTAAATGTACGTGTGACACAGAACACACACTGTGCACCGCACCCTGTCCAAGAGATAAACTATTTCATCCAGAAGGACGCACTCTGTCGCATACACACACAATGCAGTGTCACAAAATCAATCATTGTACGATGTCACAAAGTCACTCACTATACAATGTCTAAATATCACTCACTGCACAATGTCACAAAAAAGCACACATTACATAATGTCACAAAAACATAATCTATGCAATATCACACAATCACTCACTGCACAATGTCACAAAAATACACATCATGTAGTGTCCCACAGAAACAATGCACAATGTCACAAAAATACACACTATGCTATGTTACACAGACACACAGAGTATATGTGTCTGCAAATGGCAGATGGGAGTACCTCTGTAACACTCTGTAACACAATGTCATAAAAACACACACTGTGCTATGTTACACAGACACACAGAGTATATTGTGTCTGCAAAAGGCAGATGGGAGTACCTGTGTAACACTGTGTGACACAATGTAACCTCTGTAACACAATGTCACAAAAACATACACTCTGCAATGTTACACAGACACACAGAGTATATGTGTCCAAGAATGGCAGATGGCAGTACCCGTGTATCACTGTAACACAATATAACACTCTGTAACACAATGTCACAAAAACACACACTGTGCTATGTTACACAGACACACAGAGTATATTGTATCTGCAAATGGCAGATGGGAGTACCTGTGTAACACTGTGTGACACAATGTAACCTCTGTAACACAATGTCACAAAAACATACACTCTGCTATGTTACACAGACACACAGAGTATATGTGTCCAAGAATGGCAGATGGCAGTACCCGTGTAACACTGTAACACGATATAACACTCTGTAACAAAATGTCACAAAACCACACACTGTGCTATGTTACACAGACACACAGAGTATATTGTATCTGCAAATGGCAGATGGGAGTACCTGTGTAACACTAACACATATATGCAAACATACACACACAGGCATTATAACACTAACACAAGAACACACACATACTAACGTCTACGTTACAGCGATACATACAATACTTTTTTCAGACATACAAAATCACTTTGGGATAGTGCGCAGGTAACCTGTTTCTTTGTTATACAATACCTTTTGCCTCACACACTTTGATCATGCAGTGGTGTACTGATTGGGGGTGGAGAGAGGAGAGGGGGTAGTCAGCCCCCATGTGACACACTGGAGGGGGTTTGCATAAATGTATCCATATTTTTTACTCAGAAGGACCACATTCCTATTAACACAGCGACTGTGTTACAGTTTCCACAGTAATACTTCAAATGTATACAAGATGGATACAAACTGTGTAACAATGATTTGTTATTCCCGTAATTAACACAAATGGAGTAATTCACAACTGCTTATTGTGGAGAATTAACAGAGAAATAACAAATCTGAAGACAAAATGACAAAATTGGAACACTTGTCCACCACTCCCGCGTTAGTAAATAGCCTTATCTGTGTTTGCCAGAAACATCTCTAACTAACAAGAGATAAGCTCATGGCGCCCTGTGCCCGCTGGTAAATGCAGGACTTGTACTTTGTATGTTCTGTTTACATACTTAGACACCCCACACCCCAGGAATGATTGGGTTCAGAGGTCATCAACTCTGCCTTGGCAGCCTTACTGATTGGGAAGGTGAGATGTGCCCGCACCAGGGAGACAATATCGCAATGCTTGGACACCAACTCCACACATGGCGGGGAGAAGACCGAGCAGATACCTTCAGAGAAAACAAGAAAAACACAGTCATCAACACGAATATACCATGCAATCGAGGAGAGATCTCCATTATACCCGAGCACACGTTTTTAGTAAATATGGCTGCAATGTTCTCTGTTCTATCTAGTAAGCTGGTAGCAAGCAGCGTGAGCAGGCTATTTGGGGTATGTTGTCCATCTCCTACTGACCATTGTTGCGGGACTCCAGGCTGCGCAGTAAGTGATAGGACTGGAATCGATCGAGGAGGGTGTGCAGAGCGGGCAGGGGGTCCAGGAGGATAGTGTACGGGTGAGTGTCCAGATAGACCTGTAAAGCAGACATTAATAGGTTAAAGGGTTACTCCAATCATCATAACCACTACAGCCCGCTGTAGTGGTTATGATGCCAGGAGTACCCTGGCATGGTTCCCCAGTTATAGGACAAGCCGTTTAGCAACAGATTGCCCCCTTACCTGGGTTTCCGATGCTCCTTGGTGGTCCTGTGTTGTACTTTCTGCTTGTGCTGAACGCGGCCCTCACCATTCATTGGCTAAGAGCATCAGGTGACTGACAATGACTGACATTCTGTGCAATGAAAGTTGCACAGAATTGACATTAGCCAGCTGGAACTCTTGGACTGAGCTGGCTGATGACGCTACAATTACAATGGGAGTTAAATCTCTCCAATGAGGTGTAGTTACAACTCAGGCAGCAGAAGGGTTAAACTCTGCATGTGCAGCCTTTCATGGTAAAGCACTGCACACACAGATTGCAGGCACCATGACCACTTCAAATCACTGACCTGGTCATAGTACTTGGAATAACACTTTAATTCCTTAACTACCGAGCACTTTTTTTTATTTGATATTAGCATAACATGTATTTGAAGCGAGGGGTGCATCGCAAGCACAACCATATCATAACACATCGGTTTTGTTTATAGGTTGCTTTGTGGACAAAGTTAAAAATTAAAATTCTGTAAATTTACACAATTTTTATTTTTTACTTACTTGTTCATATTTTATAAAAAATATCTGAGAAATGAAAAGCTTTAGACATTATACAATGTCCTTTGTCTTGCAATATTCACCCAGGGTCTAAAACGTTATTATAAAAAGGAAAAAACATGTTTTTTATCACATATGGGCGTGAAAAAAAAAAGAGATATAAAATGGTCAAAATACCTTGCTTATAGGTATCTGTAATTATACTGAAGGCATTACTAGCAGTTCAGCTGATTGTAGAAATGTTATGACCCATTGATCCTTCCTTTGCTGCTTGAAAGCAGGGAGTGAGCTGACATTTCCAGCACAATTGCAGACATTAAATTAGCTACTAGTGATGTCTGGCAGAGAAGTTTGTTAATCTAAAGACTGATAACAATACTGATACAGACTGATAATCATTATTGGAGGTTAAATTAGGGTGAGTGAGGCTTTGTGGACTAAATCTTATTCTGTAAAATAAAAAGGTTTATGCTCGATTTTTGTAGTGAAGTGGTTAATATGGTAGGCACTTCTAGAAGGTTATACTATATTAACCCACATCACAATAAGGTTCAGATTACACAGATATCACTTGTGTCTGGTTCCCCTCATAGCAAGACTTACTGCGTGAATGGGGGGGTAGGGGGGAGGGAGGGAGATTGTGAGCTTTTGGGTAATACCATTAACAGTGATAGCAATGGGGACAGGGAGCACTTAATAAATCATAATGATGACTTATTAACAAAGACACAAGGAAAACCAAAGAAGGTTCGGGCAAACCAGGGCTCAGTGAAGCCAGCTTTATTGAAACATCCTGCAGAGAGCAATGTATTGATCTCTCTATAAGAGGTCTTTTCAAGCTGCACTTTGTGGGAATATTTTACAGACACCAAGAGGAAGGTTGGAGCAGGAGATACAATATAAAGGATTGAACAGGAGATACAATATAAAGGATGGAGCAGGAGATACAATATAAAGGCTGGAGCAGGAGATACAATATTAAGGATGGAGCAGGAGATACAATATTAAGGATGGAGCAGGAGATACAATATTAAGGATGGAGCAGGAGATACAATATTAAGGATGGAGCAGGAGATACAATATTAAGGATGGAGCAGGAGATACAATATAAAGGAGGATGGAGCAGGAGATACAATATAAAGGATGGAGCAGGAGATACAATATAAAGGATGGAGCAGGAGATACAATATAAAGGTTGGAGCAGGAGATACAATATTAAGGATGGAGCAGGAGATACAATATAAAGGTTGGAGCAGGAGATACAATATAAAGGAGGGAGCAGGAGATACAATATAAAGTATGGAGCAGGAGATACAATATAAAGGATGAGGCAGGAGATACAATATAAAGGATGGAGCAGGAGATACAATATAAAGGATGGAGCAGGAGATACAATATAAAGGTTGGAGCAGGAGATACAATATTAAGGATGGAGCAGGAGATACAATATAAAGGAGGGAGCAGGCGATACAATATAAAGGATCAAACAGGAGATACAATATAAAGGATGGAGCAGGAGATACAATATAAAGGATGGAGCAGGAGATACAATATAAAGGATGGAGCAGGAGATACAATATAAAGGATGGAGCAGGAGATACAATATACAGGGAGTGCAGAATTATTAGGCAAATGAGTATTTTGACCACATCATCCTCTTTATGCATGTTGTCTTACTCCAAGCTGTATAGGCTCCAAAGCCTACTACCAATTAAGCATATTAGGTGATGTGCATCTCTGTAATGAGAAGGGGTGTGGTCTAATGACATCAACACCCCTATATCAGGTGTGCATAATTATTAGGCAACTTCCTTTCCTTTGGCAAAATGGGTCAAAAGAAGGACTTGACAGGCTCAGAAAAGTCAAAAATAGTGAGATATCTTGCAGAGGGATGCAGCACTCTTAAAATTGCAAAGCTTCTGAAGCGTGATCATCGAACAATCAAGCGTTTCATTCAAAATAGTCAACAGGGTCGCAAGAAGCGTGTGGAAAAACCAAGGCGCAAAATAACTGCCCATGAACTGAGAAAAGTCAAGCGTGCAGCTGCCACGATGCCACTTGCCACCAGTTTGGCCATATTTCAGAGCTGCAACATCACTGGAGTGCCCAAAAGCACAAGGTGTGCAATACTCAGAGACATGGCCAAGGTAAGAAAGGCTGAAAGACGACCACCACTGAACAAGACACACAAGCTGAAACGTCAAGACTGGGCCAAGAAATATCTCAAGACTGATTTTTCTAAGGTTTTATGGACTGATGAAATGAGAGTGAGTCTTGATGGGCCAGATGGATGGGCCCGTGGCTGGATTGGTATAGGGCAGAGAGCTCCAGTCCGACTCAGACGCCAGCAAGGTGGAGGTGGAGTACTGGTTTGGGCTGGTATCATCAAAGATGAGTTTGTGGGGCCTTTTCGGGTTGAGGATGGAGTCAAGCTCAACTCCCAGTCCTACTGCCAGTTCCTGGAAGACACCTTCTTCAAGCAGTGGTACAGGAAGAAGTCTGCATCCTTCAAGAAAAACATGATTTTCATGCAGGACAATGCTCCATCACACGCGTCCAAGTACTCCACAGCGTGGCTGGCAAGAAAGGGTATAAAAGAAGAAAATCTAATGACATGGCCTCCTTGTTCACCTGATCTGAACCCCATTGAGAACCTGTGGTCCATCATCAAATGTGAGATTTACAAGGAGGGAAAACAGTACACCTCTCTGAACAGTGTCTGGGAGGCTGTGGTTGCTGCTGCACGCAATGTTGATGGTGAACAGATCAAAACACTGACAGAATCCATGGATGGCAGGCTTTTGAGTGTCCTTGCAAAGAAAGGTGGCTATATTGGTCACTGATTTGTTTTTGTTTTGTTTTTGAATGTCAGAAATGTATATTTGTGAATGTTGAGATGTTATATTGGTTTCACTGGTAATAATAAATAATTGAAATGGGTATATATTTGTTTTTTGTTAAGTTGCCTAATAATTATGCACAGTAATAGTCACCTGCACACACAGATATCCCCTAACATAGCTAAAACTAAAAACAAACTAAAAACTACTTCCAAAAATATTCAGCTTTGATATTAATGAGTTTTTTGGGTTCATTGAGAACATGGTTGTTGTTCAATAATAAAATTAATCCTCAAAAATACAACTTGCCTAATAATTCTGCACTCCCTGTAAAGGATGGAGCAGGAGATACAATATAAAGGTTGGAGCAGGAGATACAATATAAAGGATGGAGCAGGAGATACAATATAACGGCTGGAGCAGGAGATACAATATAAAGGATGGAGCAGGAGATACAATATAAAGGTTGGAGCAGGAGATACAATATAACGGCTGGAGCAGGAGATACAATATAAAGGATGGAGCAGGAGATACAATATAAAGGATGGAGCAGGAGATACAATATAAAGGATGGAGCAGGAGATACAATATAAAGGATGGAGCAGGAGATACAATATTAATGATGGAGCAGGAGATACAATATAAAGTATGGAGCAGGAGATACAATATAAAGGATGGAGCAGGAGATACAATATAAAGGATGGAGCAGGAGATACAATATAAAGGATGGAGCAGGAGATACAATATAAAGGATGGAGCAGGAGATACAATATAAAGGATGGAGCAGGAGATACAATATAAAGGATGGAGCAGGAGATACAATATAAAGGATGGAGCAGGAGATACAATATAAAGGATGGAGCAGGAGATACAATATAAAGGATGGAGCAGGAGATACAATATAAAGGATGGAGCAGGAGATACAATATAAAGGATGGAGCAGGAGATACAATATAAAGGTTGGAGCAGGAGATACAATATAAAGGATGGAGCAGGAGATACAATATAAAGGTTGGAGCAGGAGATACAATATAAAGGATGGAGTAGGAGATACAATATAAAGGATGGAGCAGGAGATACAATATAAAGGCTGGAGCAGGAGATACAATATAAAGGCTGGAGCAGGAGATACAATATAAAGGATGGAGCAGGAGATACAATATTAAGGATGAAGCAGGAGATACAATATAAAGGATGGAGCAGGAGATACAATATAAAGGATGGAGCAGGAGATACAATATAAAGGATGGAGCAGGAGATACAATATAAAAGGATGGAGCAGGAGATACAATATAAAAGGGAATTGAGCAGGAGTACAATATAAGAGATGGAGCAGGAGATACAATATTGTGATGGAGCAGGAGATACAATATAAAAGGATGGAGCAGGAATACAATGGCAATGATGGAGCAGGAAGGTGCACAATATAAAAAGGATGGAGCAGGAGATACAATGGCCCAATGATGGAGCAGGAGATTACAATATAAAAGGATGGAGCCAGGAGATACAATATAAAAAGGCTGGAGCAGGAGGATACAATATAAAAAGTTGGAGCAGGGGCCACAATATAAAAGGTTGTAGCAGGAGATACAATATAAAGGCTGGAGCAGGAGGTAAAATATAAAAGGCTGGAGCAGGAGATACAATATAAAGGATGGAGCAGTAGATCCAATAGAAGTCCATCTTAGTGTATTTTAGACTTACCTGAAGCCGCTGGACGAGATAATGGGATTTGAGGTCTTGGCCAGCTTCTACAAGAAGGTCTGACAACTTGTGTATAATCAGATCAAAGGGACCTTGGTTACTGAGGGGCAGTGAGAGATCCACCTAATGGCAACATTAGTTTTTTTTTAATTGAATTTATCACCTGGGAATTATTTAATCTGAACCTGAATTTTTTACCTTGCACACATAGCTGCAATATAACGCCCATCACACATAGTTGGTATATAGCGCAATATAACGCCAGGCAGACATAGCTGGTATATAGAGTAATATAACGCCTGGCACAAATAGCTGGTATATAGAGCAATATAACGCCTGGCACAAATAGCTGGTATATAGCGCAATATAACGCCTGGCACACATAGCTGGTATATAGCGCAATATAACGCCATGCAGACATAGCTGGTATATAGAGTAATATAACACCTGGCACAAACAGCTGGTATATAGAGCAATATAACACCTGGCACGCATAGCTGGTATATAGAGTAATATAACGCTTGGCACACTTACATCCGTCACATCGTATCCGCGGCTCCTGAAAAATAAAAGGTTTCGTAATGTAAGATATAAAAATAACTTTGCGTTTCACAAATAATTTTTATGCAGTGTTACAGATTGACTAACCAGTAGAATTGCCTCAATATTTTTTAACTAGAGGCAGAATTGTATATACTGCAGACACTAGGGTAAAACACACACACACAGTGTACACAGTAGGTTAACACACAGACTGCATATAGTGTAGACAGTAGGGTAACACACACACACAGTGCAGACAGTAGGGTAACACACAATGTATACAGTAGGATAACGCATCCCCCCCCACACACACACACACAGTGTGGACAGTGGGGTAACGCACACACAGAGTGTAGACAGTAAGGTAACACACACAGTGTGGAGAGTAGGGTAACACACACAGTGCCACAGTGCATATAGTGTGGACAGAAGGGTAACACACACACACAGTGCAGACAGTAGAGTAACACACACAGTGCAGACAGTAGAGTAACACACATAGTGTATATAGTAGAGTAACACACAATGTACATAGTAGAGCAGCACACAGTGCATATAGTATAGAGTCAGACAGTAGGGTAACACACACAGTGCAGACAGTAGAGTAACATACACACAGTACATATAGTAGAGTAACACACAGCGCAGACAGTAGGGTAACACACACACAGTGCAGACAGTAGAGTAACACACATAGTGTATATAGTAGAGTAACACACAATGTACATAGTAGAGCAGCACACAGTGCATATAGTATAGAGTCAGACAGTAGGGTAACACACACAGTGCAGACAGTAGAGTAACATACACACAGTGCAGACAATAGTGTAACATACACAGCGCATATAGTGTAGACAGTAGGATAACACACACACAGTGTAGACAGTAAGATAATACACACACAGTGTAGACAGTAGGATAATACACACACACACACACACACACAGTGTAGACAGTAGGGTAACACACACAGAGCATATAGTGTAGACAGTAGGGTAACACACACACACAGTGTAGACAGTAGGATAATACACACACAGTGTAGACCGTAGGTTAATGCACACAGTGCATATAATGTAGACAGTAGGGTAACACACACAGTGCATATAGTGTAGACAATAGGGTAACACACAGTGTAGACAGTACGCACAATCACACACTGCACACTTCACCCACTTGCAAAGTTCCTCAAAGACATGAAAGTTGAGTTTTCTTTTCTTCTTGTCGTTGACACAGACGCCAATTCTCTTCCTCCTCTGCAAGGCAGGCATGGTGCACAGTAAACCTGTCTCCCTGGTTCAGCCCAGCCTGCTGCACTCACCTTTGGCCCGTCTCAGCTAGCTAATGCAGGATGTCTGATACCCATGTGGGGCAGGCACAGAATAGCTCACAGGAGGGGCAGGAAGGAACCTTCCCAGAGATACCAGCTGATTGCCATAAATATTGATTAGCTCACCGTTACCAGGGATATACTGAGTGACACACCTTGTAATGTCAAACAGTACGGCAAGATGTATGTCACTGTCACATTTACAGATCGATTACTGTGTACACACACATACCCAGGTCACACATGTACCACCTAACCAAGGCTCGTATATACCACCTAACCAGAGGGTACATATACCACCTAACCAGAGCGTACATATACCACCTAACCAAGACACACATGCCACCTAACCAAGGCTCGTAAATACCACCTAACGACGGCGTACATATACCATCTAACCAAGGCTCGTATATACCACCTAACCAAGGCACATGTACCACCTAACCAGAGCGTAAATATACCACCTAACCAGGGCACACATACCACCTAACCAAGGCTCGTATATACCACCTAACCAGGGCATGTATATACCACCTAACCAAGGCACATGTACCACCTAACCAGAGCGTACATATACCACCTAACCAGAGCGTATATATTCCACCTAACCAGGGCGTATACATACCACCTAACTAGGGGGTACATATACCACCTAACCAGGGCACACATACTACCTAACCAGGGCGTATACATACCACCTAACCAGGGCATATACATACCACCTAACCATGGCGTGCATAAATACTACCTAATCAGGGCATATATATGTACACACACCATCTAACCAGGGCACATATACCATTTAACCAGGGCATCATGTATATATCACCTAACCAGGACATACATACCACCTTACCAGTGTGTATATATATATATATATATGTCACATAACCAGGGTGCAATAGGGTTTATGTTCCAGGAGGAATAAGTCAAATGGCAAATGATTTAGGTAAACTAGAAAAATGGTCAGAGTTGTGGCAAGTGACATTTAATGTGGATAAGTGCAAGATAATGCATCTTGGACGTAAAAACCCAAGGGCAGAGTACAGAATATTTGATAGAGTTCTAACCTCAACATATGAGGAAAGGGATTTAGGGGTGATTATTTCTGATGACTTAAAGGTAGGCAGACAATGTAATAGAGCAGCAGGAAATGCTAGCAGAATGCTTGGTTGTATAGGGAGAGGTATTAGCAGTAGTTTAGGGATCTGTACTTGGACCCATTCTCTTTAAAGGAACACTATAGTCACCTAAATTACTTTAGCTAAATAAAGCAGTTTTAGTGTATAGATCATTCCCCTGCAATTTCACTGCTCAATTCACTGTCATTTAGGAGTTAAATCACTTTGTTTCTGTTTATGCAGCCCTAGCCACACCTCCCCTGGCTATGATTGACAGAGCCTGCATGAAAAAAAAACTGGTTTCACTTTCAAACTGATGTAATTTACCTTAAATAATTGTATCTCAATCTCTAAATTGAACTTTAATCACATACAGGAGGCTCTTGCAGGGTCTAGCAAGCTATTAACATAGCAGGGGATAAGAAAATCTTAATTAAACAGAACTTGCAATAAAGAAAGCCTAAATAGGGCTCTCTTTACAGGAAGTGTTTATGGAAGGCTGTGCAAGTCACATGCAGGGAGGTGTGACTAGGGTTCATAAACAAAGGGATTTAACTCCTAAATGGCAGAGGATTGAGCAGTGAGGCTGCAGGGGCATGTTCTATACTCCAAAACTGCTTCATTAAGCTAAAGTTGTTCAGGTGACTATAGTGTCCCTTTAATATTTATTTATTATTTATTGATATTGCAAAAGGTCTTGATGGTAAGGTATGTCTTTTTGTTGATGGTACCAAGATATGTAACAGGGTTCATGTTCAAGGAGGGATAAGCCAAATGTCAAATCAGTTAGGTAAACTAGAATGTAGCGGATCGGCAGTATTAAATCCACGAATTCCGCTGGTACACTCAATAATCCCCAGTCAGCGCTGAAAAGAAAAGCGATATCCCAAATCCCCCCAGTAACCGGACGAAACACAGTTCTGGGAGTCAACTGAAGGCTTTATTCACAGGTCTGCTTTTATGCATTTCTCCCATGCAAGGGAGGTAACTTTCATAATTACTACAGTAACCAATCACACAGTAGTCACCTCCCCTACCTCTCCTCCCCTTAGATTAAGCATTAACATAATTAAACTGTACACAGTTTTCCCCATATTTCGGATCACCCCTAAAGACAGGGAATACAGAGACAAATAAGGGGTCCCCTGGTAGCCCTGATCTGGGTGAGCAACATACTTAAAATTCACCCAGATCGGACCAGGGGTTCGGGAGTTATAACCGGTGAAAGATTTGACCGACCGCACGGGCACAGTAGCCGAAAACAGTTCCATGAATTCTGGCCCTGCAGTCAGTCTTTTCTGAAGAACCAAAAGTCCCGAAAGGCAGTGGCATCCAGGTCTCTGTTACAGTTCGAAAGAATCCCCTTTTCGTTGGATTCCAACTACCGAACGCTGAGGGGTTCGTGTGTTCCATTCGTGTGGTTTGGGTGTGCTGGAGGTCTTAGCGGTACTCGGTTAGTCAAAAGCCCAATTAGGGTTCCAGGCGTTCGACAACCAAGTACCGCTGTTCGTGCGTAAGATAGCCGCCGCCACGTGTTCGGTATACGAAATGGCGGCCACACACACACACACTCGCACTTAACCCACTTCGCAACATTGTATTGAGCAGTTAATGGGAGACACACAACCCCATCAGGGTGGTCTCCTCGTTCGGTAGTTTCCGGGCATTCGTATGAATTGCAATATTGTCCATTCGGGAATCATTTCTCTGTTTCTGCACACATGATAAGTGAATAGTCCAGAGTTCTGTGTGCCTGAATAAAAGTCTGTACAAGAAGTGGCAGGATTTGCCACATAGAAAAATGGTCAGAGTTGTGGCAGCTGACATTTAATGTGGATAAGTGAAAGATAATGCATCTTGGACGTAAAAACCCAAGGGCAGAGTACAGAATATTTGATAGAGTCCTAACCTCAACATCTGAGGAAAAGGGATTTAGGGGTGATTATTTCTGATGACTTAAAGGTAGGCAGACAATGTAATAGAGCAGCAGGAAATGCTAGCAGAATGCTTGGTTGTATAGGGAGAGGTATTAGCAGTAGAAAGAGGGAAGTGCTCATGCCATTGTACAGAACACTGGTGAGACCTCACTTGGAGTATTGTACACAGTACTGGAGACCGTATCTTCAGAAGGATATTGATACCTTAGAGAGGGTTCAGAGAAGGGCTACTAAACTGGTTCATGGATTGCGGGATAAAACTTACCAGGAAAGGTTAAAGGATCTTAACATGTATAGCTTGGAGGAAAGACGAGACAGGGGGGATATGATAGAAACATTTAAATATATAAAGGGAATCAACACAGTAAAGGAGGAGACTATATTTAAAGAAGAAAAACTACCACAACAAGAGGACATAGTCTTAAATTAGAGGGACAAAGGTTTAAAAATAATATCAGGAAGTATTACTTTACTGAGAGGGTAGTGGATGAATGGAATAGCCTTCCAGCTGAAGTGGTAGAGGTTAACACAGTAAAGGAGTTTAAGCATGCGTGGGATAGGCATAAGGCTATCCTAACTATAAGATAAGGCCAGGGACTAATGAAAGTATTTAGAAAATTGGGCAGAATAGATGGGCCGAATGGTTCTTACACATTCCATTTTTCTATGTTTCGTATATACCTTACCAGGGCGCGTATACACCACCAAACCAGGTCAGATTTATATACCCTAGCCAGGATATATATACCAAAACAGAGCACACATACACCATGTAACCAGGGTGTGTATATACCACCTAACCAGGATACAGATATATCAATTAAGTCAGGGTGCATATACATCAACCTACGCAGGGCACATATAAATAATTATATAAAGTAATTACCCATGGCACGTATACAGCATTTAAAAAATTGTAATTAAGAGTGAGGATCCAAGATAAGTTTTTATACATGATTTTAACAATGACAGGACCTCCATTATAGCAGCAAACATTACCATAGAAACAAGAGAAACGAATGACCGAAAACTAAACATATTGTGTCATATCCTTTTAAGACTTCTCCTCTTTATTTGCTGCTCCTGCCAAGCACGGGACATAGTTTTGGGGGTCTGTAAGAAAACCCAGCATTTCCCAGACTTTGTTCAAACAATATTTCACATGTGTAACGGATCACCTGGCACCCCGACTGGGTACCTCCGTTGAAGGATGCTCCTAGCGCTTCCTGAGGACTCCAAGCACTGCAGCAGACACCACAACCACCGAACCGGAGAAGCATACGAATGCTCTCAAGCATATGAATGCTGTGAGCAGCTGAACAGGAAAAGCATACAATCAGCTTACACTCCTGGCAATCAGCATACAATCCAATTCCCCCAATAACGAGACGACACTTCGTTTTGAGGTCAAGCAGAACTGCCTGTACTGGCACATACAGACTCTTTTATTCACAATCCACAAACATAGTACTGCCCACAGGGTTTTGAAATACAACCAATCAATCCGTACAATACACACAGACACTCCCACACAAAATCCTCCCCTCTGTCTGTGATATGATTACTGAACACAATGGTTAATATAATTATCACAGGCAGAGAAATACAGTATTATAAAACATATCACAGGGAGCCCAAAACATGCAATAACCCCATAAAACATACTGGTTATATCCTCGGAACCGGGGGATCTGGGTGAACCACATATCCAAAATTCACCCAGATCCGTTCAGTAGTTTGGAAAATACAGTTTAATGCAGATTCCGCAGAACATATACAGGCTAAATGAAAAATAATTACTGTATAATGTGTCCCCTGTTCTGTAGTTTAAAACTACTGCACGATGTCTTTGTGCACCAAATACCGGCGAGATGGCACCGTGTAGAAAAGTCCAAACAGTGTCTGTGAGTTAAAATGTCCGCCATCCATTGTTCTCACCATGTGCTTCATCCATTTTTCTCACCATGTGCCTCTGATACATGAATGGTGGCCACCCAGTAACTCCACAGTATGTCCCCAGATGGTTCTTAAAGGGCCAGCAGCAGCACAACACAAATCCATTATGCCCAAGTCATGTCTTTAAAGGGCAATACATCCCAGGGGCCATAGTCACATGGCAGGAGGCTGGCAATCAGTCTTCTCCAATGCCCAGTGGCGAG